TGGGCGGGGAGTGCGAGCTGCAGCTCACCAAGGTGCGGACCTCGATGTATCCATGTTTGGTACAAAAGTAATGATCATACTGATAATAATAGTAGTAATTAGTCGTAGTAGTGGCAGCAGCAGCAGCAGCAGTAGTGGTAGTAGTAGTAGTAGTAGTAGTAGTAGTAGTAATAGTAGTGGTGGTAGTGGTGGTAGTGGTAGTGGTAGAAGTAGAGCAAACATAATAATAGTGACGAACACAGTAATAGCAATAGTAGAGTGATACTCGTAGTAGCAATAGTACAAGTCATAATAATCGTCATAGTCATACCAATAATAATAATAGTACTAGCGATAATAGTGATAAATAATACTAATAGTAATAGTGTTGAACATAGCAATGATAATATTGATGATCTATAATTATATACATATAATATGTAATTATACGTATATTGTGTATATATATATATGTATATCTTTAGGGATACACTTTAGGGATACACTTGAAATGCATAGAACGCAGATATTTAAATCGCTGTTGATCCTGGGTCCAGGGGTGGTGGTATTTTTGAATTGACATACTGTAGGATACCTGCCATTTTCCCAAGTATCATGATGTACCCTCTGGTAATGACTAACATAGCTATTGAAAATGACCATTTGTAGTGGATTTACCCATTGAAAATGGTGATTTTCCATAGTTATGTTAGTTTACCAGAGGGTAAAATAGCAGTTTTATGGACCCAATGTTTTGAAGTCAAGGCCGGCAGTAGTGTCGCTGGTACAAGCTGGTACATTTTGATGCAGGATTTGCCTTGAATGGGACCAGCAGGCTTGGATTGAAGCCTCACATGGCGTGCACACATCATGGTGAGAGGCATGAGAACACAACTGGTAGGTATCCTCCGATTAATTATTTGTCTATCGGTGTTTTTCAATTAAACATAGCTTTGCAAGTGGTTGCACTTGTTTTTTTTTCCGAAACTGGATGATAAGCACCCCAAACTCAGGGTGATCTTCATTTTTCCAGTCTATGTCCTCATTTTCCGAACAGTTCTTCCAGCCATGGTTGCTGGAGATGTTCGTTCCATCCATGACGTGTCAGGTCAAGGCAATTCAATCCACGGACTCAGCGTTTGCAGCAATTTTAGCACCTTGGACGTACATCTCAGTTTGTAAACAAGGACGATAAACCACTACTTAAACTGGGGATGCATTCCATTTTTTTTGCACATTATTAATGCATATTAATCATAGATTATATTGTAACATAACTAGGTATATATATATATACATGTATATACACATATCTTATATGATCTCGATTACTCAATAGTTACTTATACTACATGTGTGAGTCGTGACCATGGCCCCATTGCTACTGGATGTGTATTGGGTACCCTTAATTTGATGATCAATCAGCCAAATTTGTCGAAGAAAACACCATGGATGGGAGGTATAGCCCATTAAAAAAGACGCCCAGGACTATCCTGATGATGGTTAATGATGGTTAATGATGGTTAATGATGGTTATAATTATGTTACTATTCAATGGGGCATATAATGAGGACTATTCTTGCAACAAAGTTTGTCAATCTTCCCCAGGACCACTTTTTGTGTTTTGGTTGTGGGGATATTCATCACCGGCGGTCGCACGGTTCAAACCTACCTACGTGGCAAGGACGACGGTCGCGTCATTCCCTGGGGTTCGTCCTTCGGTGGTGGTGGGATTAGCCGATCGATACAAGAGCAACTGCAGGGCGTGGAGCAGATTCAATCGACGCGACGCCTGGTTTTCACTGGAAATTAATGATAAGAATGATCATAAATGTAATAATGATCATAATGAGAATAATGATCATAATGTTAATAATGTTAATAATAAGTTAGCTATTATGTCAATAATTATGTTAATAATTATGATCATAATGAGAAGAATAACGATAATCTATACAACTGCAGTTTGGGGATGGTTGAAACATCGCCATTTATGGAAATCTTGGGGATTGTTGGATTCATTATTGGAGTTTCCACATGAATTGCTCGGTAAACTCCATGCGCCACTGGTGGGTCACTGGATGAAATTTCCTTGAACAAACATGGATGGAGACGGGATTAAATCAGAATTTTTGTGTGCATGTTGGACTTTGATGGACTTTGCAGGCTAATTAGATTAAGCCATGAATATACAGAACGCATGTTCTTGGTCCTAGGAGGAGATATTCAGAATTGGTTCATTGAACATTCTTTGGGCACCCCATGCAACTACGCACATGGTGACACTGCCAAGCCAACGCCCTCAAAATAGGTGCCTGAAAACTTATGCCTTTTGGGCATCTGAATGGTACCGTAGCCATACCCAACTCGATGTAACTTGCCTTTTTGGGATTGGATGGGTAAACAATATATGCTCTACCATTGATCCCATAAAAAATCTGAACCCATTAAACCAATTTGGCAGGGAACCATTTAGTGGGGAACTTCTGCCAGAACTCAGGACAAGCTTTCGCTGCGATTCGGGCTGATGGTAGCATTGTTACCTGGGGCAATGACACTTGCGACTGTTTCAAGCCATGGGTGGGTCTGAAAATGCGGGATTTACTTCCATAACCTGGCTGTTTTAATATGGGCAAAATGAGGCTCCTAAGCCATCAAGTGTTTCGGGATCTTCCTTTTGAGACAAACCCATGTGATTTTTTTAATGTTTTCCAAGCAACTTAAGGGAGTACATGAATCTCTACATGATCAAGGGCAGATTGCCCAGCTCCAGGAATATTACGGCGCCAGTGGCGAAATGGCAGAGCAACTGGCTCATGAGGAGATCCGCGACTTGGTCGTGTTTAGGGTGAACCTTGGTAAATTGTTGTTACGGTCGTTCATTTTTGGTCATAGGTCAATGTAGGATACTAAGTCTAACCACAGAATTTGTTGCTGGGTAGCGTATCTAAGATTTTGCTTGTGATGTATGGTGAGATGTGAGGCAAGTTCCCCAAGGGACATCTTGGACTCAGGCCTTCTTTTCCATCTTTGGGACCAGGCATTTGGTTATGTGACGGTCCAAACTCAGGATCTTGAGATTGGATCATTGAGTAAACCTTACAGCAAGTGATAAAATCAAAATCAAAAATCAGTATATATAGTTATTATATATATGGTTAATATATGATTTATATATGGTTATTATATGGTTATTATATGGTTAATAGATGATTAATATGTCAATATGATAATCTTGATGATTCTTTACCAACAAAAACATCCAATTTTTCTGTACATCCCAGGGGTCCCACTGGATAGAACTGCTCTGTTTGGATGGCCTCTGGCACCGTCATCTCAGGTGAGATCGCTGCATCCTTCCGTTCGTTCGCAGCGATCCGCCGGGATGGTTCAGTGGTGACCTGGGGCCCTGCGGAGTGCGGCGGGGACTGCCAGGCAGTGCAGGATCAGTTGCTGGGTATCCATGGGAAGCTTTGGAAAAGTCATGGCTAGTCCAAAGGCCATGAGATATGGATGGATATCATTGGTCCACATTGTTGGTATTATGAAGGGGATTATCATCCAAAAGTCAGATGAACATATTCTTTAATCATCAATATGATATTTTTTTCATATGGAGCTTTGAATGATTTTTGGGTACCCCTATTTCTTGTCTTGGGGAAACACCGATGTTGTCAACCGAGGCTGCGGGACGTGCGGAAAATCCAATCTACTTGGCAGGCGTTTGCAGCCTTGCGACCCTTGGGTTGAGGAATGCTTGGGGAATTGGTAACTTCGTGAATGTTCTCTATCGATATGTTGGCTTCCAGCGGGATCGGAACCAGATCCAAAAAGATGGCCAGCATCACACAGCACAGTGTCATCATGGATTGGTTTGACTTTTTTGCTCATTCTCATCATTTTCCCTTTAAACAGATTAAACAGATGCCGGTTTTGCAGTATATCTCCCATATGTTTGTTCAGAATTTCACTGGGGATTCGCGTTTGGTCATCTAACCTGCTCAGGAGCAGATGGGCGTGTGGTGACCTGGGGTGATCCTCAGAGTGGCGGAGACAGCAGCGAGGTCCAGGAAGAACTCGTAGATGTCCAGGAGCCCTGTTGGTTGATGATGAGTTGTTGGGTGTTATGCTACCATGTATAATATATATACATATTATTATTATTATATGTATATATATATATATATTATATTATGTATATATATATATAACTGATATTAACTACATAATTAGATATATATATATATATATATATAAATAGATCAGAATCATATATCATCCACAATGTAAGGGGTTATACGGGTTATACTACCCCAAATATGAAAAAAAAACATGATTTGGGAATCCCTATCAACAAACCATATGCTCAGGGATGACATTTCGGGGACATGATACCATCCTAATTTGGGGTTGAATTTTGATCGCCAGGGGTCAATCATGGTCAATAATGTCAACCCTGGATTAATAAACCTCTAGGCTGTTTAATTGGGAAGGTACCATTTAAGTATCAAATCATGACTATTGGGGGAATACCCCCCTAATTTTCATAAACCATGGTTTATTAATCCGGGGTTGACATTACCTCTATGGAAAACATCTTGGGATGACTCTCCAGCTTTTTGCAGGATTTGTTTGGTACTATTCCATGGGATATAGTGATAAAAACATGAACAAACTAGTTGGTTCCCTGGGATCTATGAAACCGAAACTCTTTTTTGCTTGCAAAATTGGATGACTACAAGACGGGTCAAATTTGCTTCAACACTCAGAACATCTCAAAATATCTCAACACATGTGCATGCAGATACTGTAGATGTATAAATACATCTCAAGAAACACCAAAACAACATCTAAGTAATCTAATTATCTCTAGACTATAGATCGACATATCCAAAAATCTTCCATTTTTGGTGGGATCCCAAACTAGTTGCCATCAGCTCCCCAGTTGTGTCAGTTGTGGTCGCCATCGTGAGGAGATCCAATCCTCGTCCCGGGCCTTCGCCGCCTTGCGAGCGGACGCGCGAGTCGTTACCTGGGGGCATCCGGAGTGTGGCGGCAACAGCAGCAACTCGGAGAGGTGATGGAAATTTCTATAGAAATTTCGTATTCCATGATCCCATCAATATGTCCAGTAATATTCCAGTAATATTCCAATCATATTCCAGTATGTCATGGAACAATGATAGTAGTTGTTCCCATGATACCCTCTGGTAAACTGTCACATAGCTATGGAAAATCACCATGCTATCAATGGGTAAATCCACTATTTCAATGGCCATTTTCAATAGCTATGTTAAATTACCAGAGGGTAATGTCAACCCTGGATTCAATCACCCTTTTTTCGGCCGTTGAATTGGGAGGGTACCACAAAAAAGTATCAGATTATGACTATTGGACTATTGGAGGAGTACCCCCTTAATTAAATAGACCATGGTTTATGAATCCGGGGTTGACATTATATATAGTCTATCAGGTGGTTAGCAGGGGGCGATTCAGAGCTAGGGGTATCCATTTTCCACATGAAGAGCCAAGGAACTACTAAGAGTTTCCCAACCACATGATAGTGATACGCTATTTATAGCAACTGTATTATGGCATAATCATATCTATCGCAACTTCCACAACTATACAGTAACTTGGATATGAATATGTTTAGAACATACCCTCTGGTTATTTAACAGTTCGCCATGGGAAATGGCCCTAATCGAAATAGATGGTTTACCTAGCGAATAGCATGGTGGATCTCTCCATGGCGAACTGTTAACCAGATGGTAATTAAGTTGTGATAGGAGATGACAGAGGATCCCAGATTTTGATGTTGGGATCTTCATGGGATGTTAATCCATGGGATCTGACGATGGGATCGTTTTTTTTTTTCAATGGGATGTTTTTTTAATCCCATGAGCCTAAGATTTTGATACCCCCTAAAACGAAACCATGGTGGATGTTTCGGGAGTTACCATGGAATTAGCACATTCCATTGGGACCATAGCATGGGGGTGTAACTACCCTCTGGTAAACGTTTACATAGCTATGGAAAGATCCACCATTTTTAATGGGAAAATCCACTATGAATGGCCATTTTCAATAGCTACGTTAAATTACCAGAGGGTAATATGAACGGGTGATGGGATTAGTACTATTCATGTGGTAGAACGTCCCTGGAGATGGTTTGGGTTCAGGAAGTTCCAGCCATGGACGGTATGGACGGGTCAGGGGCCGTAAGGGGCGTCAAAAAACAGCCTAATGGGATCTAATGGGTATGGATTTGCTCGAGAAATCATTTTTTCTGCCATTTTCTCTTCATTTTCATGGCCACTTTGATGGAGATTTGCCCAATTTGGCCCCAAAAAATGAAGACGTCTGGTAAACCACCCCAACAACCACCATCCCCAGTGCCTCAGCAGGAGTATGTTCATTCTATGGATATTTCATGGTAATTAATCCATATATTTTTTGATTCACCATGATAAAAACTGGATCAAATGAAAATTATCATTCATTCAATGTAATGCAGAGTCATGGATAGTCATGGACAGTCAACAAACTCAAATCGAACAAAACACCAGGCCCCCAAGGTTTACTTGGTAGTTCATGTCGCGAATCCTAAGTAGGCTTCATCCACTTGTAACTAGGGTGGACTAACCTTCTGTCAGTACTTCGTAAGTGGCATGAATCACCAATAAAGAGGAAAATCACATAAGATCCTTCATTGATTTATTTGGGTATGGATCAATACCTATGAAAATACCATTTTTAGTGGGTTATTCACATCCATAAATCCCAGCTATTTTGATGTGAACTACAGGGGTACCAGGGTTTTGACACACTGCCATTTTTCCCAAGGCAGAGTCTTGGAGCGCCTCACTGACGTGGTGCAGATCCAGGCGACGGCACGCGCGTTTGCTGCGATGAGAGCTGATGGCACGGCCGCTCTTCCATGGTTTCAAACACTTTTGTTTGGGTCGGTGTGAAAATCAGGTACCCCCAAAAAAACGTTGGTTTATCATGATTATCATTATAATTAGGGGGTATATCATCAATTTATCATGATTAGCATTATAAGGTACCCCCATTATAATTAATTGTTTAAAATAAGGTATCCCCAATTATATCATCATTTTAATGAGTTTCTTATCGAAAGCTTGGGGATTGTGGGGGCATGTTGTGCCCTCAAAATGGTGATATGGGGTTTCGAATTTCTGGGTGATTGTCGTCACCTTTGCCATTTCAGAAACGCTGTAATATTCGCACATATTCGCACGATGTCTATGAATTTCATTCAATGTCCATCAATTTTATTCAAGTTCCCATGTCAAAAAATGCTCATCCCATAGCCCCTTCTAGTCACAAAACACCGTCAACATCAGTATTTTCGACTATTTTCATCTATTTTTCATAGAACAAATTACTTCCCCGCTTCCCAGGTCGTCACCTGGGGTGTCGCCTGGGAGTACGACAGCGACGTGGACAGCAGCGAGGTGCAGCACCTGCTGCATGACGTCATGGCGCTGCAGGCGACGGATGGCGCATTCGCGGCGGTGACGACGCGGGGGGAGGTGGGGCCGGGTGGGGACCGGGGGCCACGCCACTGGGGGTAAAAACACTCATCTGGGTAAATTATAACGACCTCACTGCGACCTCACTGCGACCTCACTGTAATCATAGCTAATAAGGGAAATCATCCCCAAATGGCCTTAATTCAGGTTAGTGAATTATTATTATTTACCCAGATTCATGATGATTTGGAGGTTTCCTGAAATAGGGGTACCCCCAAATCATCCATTTTCATGGTATTTACGGTATTTTCCATTATAAACCATCCATTTGGGGGGTACCCACATTGATGGAACCCCCCTACAAAGTAGGGGATATGAGAGATAAACATGATAAACATATAAACAGTATACCATACGATGGTGGGTAATGGTAATTAACAGTGATTTTCATGGTGCCCTCTGGTGCTACAATACAGGAGTGGAAAGGCACCAACAGACGGTAACAGACGGCTACCCTGGATGAATAACGTTATTGGAGGTCAACGGGAGCACGAGGGGTGAATTTTGCTCAAAACAGAAGCATCTCCACGTCAGATTCTGACATGTTAGGTGCTCGAACTCTGGAGGTGTAATATGGTGCATTTGTTTATTTGTTTGATTCCCAAAGTACCCTCCAGTAAATAAACATAGACCCTGGCAGTTGTCGGGGTTGGAAGATTAGTTTCCACTAAAAACTTGTAATTTTCAGGGTCGAACTGTTAATTTACCAGAGGGTACTAACTATGGGTAAACATACAAAAAACTATGGAAAATCACCAGTTTCTAGCTGGGTAAATCCCAAAGTATATCATCCCAAGCCCCACTTCCATCCCCATCCCAACTTCAAGGTGGTCAGCTGGGGTTCCTCAGAGGATGGAGGTGACAACAGCAGCGTCCAAGAGCAGCTGCAGAGCTTGTGATCAAACGTGGCGATTCGCAGCAGTTGGAGTTGGATGGTGTATATATATATAATAATGATATATATATATTATTATATATATATTATATTATATATATAATTCTATATACAGTATATATATATATACAATTTGGTTTCAACATGCTTTAACGGTGAATTGCTTTCTGACATTGATGTGTATTTAAAATGATTTCATAGTGTTACCCGCCGTTGTCATCAAACATGGCTGGCTGGGATTCCAAACTAAATGGGCATTTAAATAGAACAGTCATCTATAAATACTCTTTTTCTATTGCCATGCTTGATCACCAGAGGGTAGCAAGCAGAAAACGCGAGGACATTCACAGTTGACCCATAGAAATTTATACAAAGACGCAAAATGTGAAATAATTTGAGCACTTCTTAAGGGTTTCTTCAGCAAAAGTGGAGAGCCTTGGTATGAGTTGATCTTTTGATCGCTATTGGGGCGATGAACATATATATATATATAATCATATAATCATATATATATATATACACATACATATGAACATACATATAAACATATGTATATATATATACACATAATATCTTGAACATTTTTTTGTATCAACTCATCCATTGGCCATCGCCAGCTATTCGGAGGACGGTGGTCCTCCGGCTTATTGGTGGCTGGATCACTATCCGCATTTGGCCGCCAAAAACCTGGGGATGGTCTGGGGTCCAAGCCGAGTCCGAGTCCTTGGATGGGGGATACCCTCTGGTTATGTCAAAATAGCTATTGAAAATGGCCATTTGTAGTGAGTTTTCCCATGAAAAATGGTGATTTTCCATAGTTTTTTGTTAGTTTACCAGAGGGTCTCATGGGAACAACTACTATCATGGGATACCATGACATATTCCCCAAAAAATAAGGGAACTATGACTAGTTGGATGTGTACTTTTTGATGAATCCCGGTATTTTATGTTGACTATTATGGTCTCATCCAGTAAGCCAACATAATACCGATTTTTAATGGGAATATCATGGGACACTTTCCTACAACTGGTCTTTCTCATGGGGATTTCATTGGGGTATTCACCAACAAGAATGATCAAGAATGGGGAGATACCCTCCAGTAGTCAACGGTGGTTTGCTAGAAAATCAACCATTTGTCATATTTATAGGTCTTATTTTTTCAGGCATTATAAACCTTATATAGATTTATTTTCCAGCTGGCAATGTTTGGCCGGAGATTTGCTTAGCTCTTTCAACCCGTATCACAGGGACGATGAAAGATTGGCTTTGCACATCAGTGCTGTATGAGAAAGGCGAAAGGCTCGGCTCGCATCGGTCGAAAGAATCAGTTGTCATTTTTATACATCGTTTTCGTAGAACTGCATTCGAAAAACAACAACAGTAGAATCTGCAAATACCCTGTCAGAGGGGCCCAAGCGCCATTGTTTTGACAGCTGATCCAATCGTTTGGGAACAAGATGCGAATTTGTGAATTTCCTGGTTGCGCGCTGATTTGATTGTTTGGAAGTCCAAAATTCTTTCTGCACTTCCAGAGGATCGGATTGGATCGGTGGATCATGCCTCAATGAAAACAATGTTCTGCTTGAGGTCGATATTTTGCAGTGCCCGGGAGACACGGTGCTCAACCTCAGCAGTTGGATTGTGGTTCGTGGTAAAGAAAAAAATGGCAACTGATTTTTTACTGTTTTTTTTTTTCATTTCTAAATTTTATATCATTTTTTTGATGGTGCAGTGCAAAATTGACAAACATGACAGCTTCTCAGCCCCCAAATGATTGTTTGATGTCTTGAAGCTTGGTCATGTCGATAGCATTTTGCCCGTCACGATTTTATGTCCGCATCTCCAACGCTTTCTGAGAGGCCATGCATTAAATGCATGTCTTGTGCATCTTTGTCATAAAACCTGGCCATTTCTGATTCTGCAAGTTTTCAGACCTCAACTTCTGCTAGCAAATTTGCTTGGCTTTGGGATAGATTTGATCACCAATATCCATTCCCCTCCAACTGGGAGTCTATGAGCCCAGTTATATTGTTGATATGTTCTTATACCACTATCTTTCGGAACAAAAACCGACAACATTATAAAGCTATCAACTTGTCATCCATTAATTCTTACAACCAAAACATGTTACTGGTTGGTGGTTTGGAAAATGGCTACTATTTTCCCATATATTGGGAATGTAATCATCCCAACTGACTTTCATGCTTTTCAGAGGGGCAGGTATACCACCAACCAGATAGAGACATCCCCATCATTTTTTGAAAAGTCCGTCCCCACAACCACCAGTGTTTTTTTTCTACAAGCAACACCCGGCCAGATCTTCGTTCCGTCTGGTTGGTGGCACTGCACTCTGAACTTGCCAGACACGCCAGAGGCCTTTCGGGGTGGGAAAGTGAAGGCCTTCGTAGTGATTCCGTGGGCTTAGAAAATCCATTGAACAATGGGCTCTAAAAGGACGAAAACAACATGGGTTTTGATATGTTTTTAACTTTAGACCATTGGCCTATTGGGTTCAACAACCTATTGGGTTTAAATGCCTTAGTTAAAAAATGATTCGAACATGTTCTAAGCCCATTGAAACATTCAAAAAGAAAGGGTCGATGCATGGCTACGCATGATTGCATGAGGCCAGAGCTACTGAATACCTTTTTCAGCTGATAGTGGAGGTACAACCTCATAGAGAAAGTGCCTGTAGGAACAGTATGCTACGTCGAAGGCTGCCACAGTCTTTAAAAACATGTGTCTTCCAAAACAAAAATTCCTCTACTGGCAGGGTTGCTCCAGCCCACATTTCGGTCAATGATCGCCCAATATGGGGCATAAAAAAAAAACATTTTACCCTCTGGTTATTTAACATAGCCATGGAAAATGGCCCATTTATAGATGGTTTACCTGGGTTTACCTATTAAAAATGGTGATTTTCCATGGCTATGTTAAATAACCAGATGGTACCTCTATTTCCCCCTATGCTCCCACCCTTGTCCCGATGTGTCCCGATGTTGGGAGCCCGAGGACGTGACCATTGCCTGCACCCGCAACATTTTCCCAGCAGAGACGTTGGATTTCGTCATGACCTTGGGATTTCTGGGCTGACCTGAGTCCTGAAACCATACTGGGCTTGGGAATATGTTGTTCCATGTTCTATGGGAATTTCAGGATCCTAAAATGGAGGTACTGTACCATATAAGGTTATATATATATATTTGTGGTGATATTCACTTACATAGGCCTTATATAGGCCTTATATATGATAGGTACCCCCATTTTAGGATCCTGGAATGGCCATTGACATGTTGTTTCGTGTTGTTTCACATGTCGGGGGGGTTAAACAATGTTAAACATCAGTGTGGCGAGCCCAGGAAACTTGCCTAAAAAATGTGTTTGAAGATGGGGTGCAGCCCCCAATTGGCAATTGCATAGGGAAACTATGGGAAAAATGATGAAATTAGTGGATTCAACATGATTTAAGATGATTGAGGCTATACCCAATTTTCAGACCCACATTACAGGTAGCACTGTAGTCCAGCTTTCAACTTTGATACCCAGCTCTGCCAGTGGGTGACCATGATCCAGCTAGTCATAGATCCATATGTCAAGGGAATCAGACCCATACTCTATCTGGAAATTCTGGACAACAAAAAACAGCTTCAAACAAACTTATAGATGTTGTTCCGTTCTGGGCTCTAGAAAGAGTTCATGAATTTCACGGCCTTAAGATCGGGTCTGAGATAAAGGCCTGTTGTGCTTATTCAATTTATACATATGTTTTTAATTAGATTTGTTGTAAGAAAAGCATCCGTATGTCAGGATAGACTATATATATATATCATATATAGATATGTCGTTTGTATTTAGTATTTACATTTATTTCATGGGTAGATTGGATAGGTTTCGAAGAAATACAGATTGTGATTTGCGGATAATTCTATCCAGATCTACACTTCAGTCATTTAACATAGACCCTGCCAAATAGGGGTTGGAAGATGAGTTGTCTACGTTAATTTTGGGGATGGTACATCGTGTCACTGATGGCTATTCCAGACCTTGCGACCCTTGTTCGTTTTCCTTGAAAAGTGGGGTGAAGCACAGTTCCTAAAATCCTAAAGTCGGTTCATCATCTAATAAAACCATCCAAGAATTGCAGAGTCTCCACCATAAACATCCACACACCCATCTGTTAAGCTGCTTCTAGACTAGACCAATTTAGCAAGTACTTTGCTGCAGAAGGAAACAACAACGAAAAGTTGTTCTTCTTTATCCGAATGATCATTAGTATCAATTTGTGGTTATCCGCCAACTTTGTAGAATTTTATAGATAATTCTATGTGATCCAACCAGATGTCAGCACATTTCAAGCCATTTTTTTCACAGCTCCTCAGCTCGTCTTTTCGCGAGGTCTTCCCCCAGATGAAAGCCTCCGATCCCGCCTTCGTTTCTTGGATGCGTGAAACTACACCCCCAACAAGACCTTTTTTTTTGGCTCAATCGCCATAGGAAAATGGTGGTTTAATGGTGTTTTATAGTTCCCAATAGTTACCCTGCCTGGTGCAGGATTTTATAGATTTCGCAACCATCCACAGTAAGTCTAATATGTCTAGGCTTGCTCAATCGCCATGTATATGGGCAAATTCATTGGCAAATCTGAAGGATCAATTGTGGGGTCACCGAGGGGGCGGTTGGTGGAGGCCCCCATGCCTATGTCTAGTTCTAGTTCTAGAGATATGTCTTGAAAAAGATGGAATGGATGACATCTTTATGGAGATAGCTGTTTTGTTCACGTTCCATGTTATGTGTTTTGGGAGGTCGGAAGTCCTTTGAGTGTCGCGCATGTTCATTGGAAATTATATTTGACGTCCGGAATATCGCATATGTAGTTCCCAGAGTCTTACCATTGAATATTTCGGGATGTGGCATGGGTCTTTTCAAATCCCATGACACATCCATTTTTGCGTTGAAAATGCATTGAACACAAATTTCATGTGCAAACCTTAGTATTGTTCTGGTTTTGATCCAGTTGTCATTGGGTTGGTTTAAGGCAAACATTGTACAGGAAACCCATGGTTACCATGGTTGTTTACCACCGAAGATGGGGTTTCAACCGCAAATCTTCCAGGGTGGGAAGTCAGCATCCATGCCTGAGGCTCAAGCTTTTCTGGAGATTCTGAAGCAAAAACGACCTGAATTGCTAAGGTGAACAGGGGAATGGCTGGGGATGAGTCCCGGAGGGCTGTAGGAATCTCCAGGCGAGGAAGTCACAATACAACAGTCAAAATTGTGGGAAGCACTTGTCTAATCATGTCTAATCTCTTAGCAGTGGAGCTTCAATGTGCTTTGCCACCTATATTCTCTATGATCCTATATGTAGTTTGGGAAATTTGGGCCGAAGCGGAAACCAGGTTTAGAACAGGTTTCTGTTGCAGGGCTTTCGCTTTTCTTCCTAGGGCATGTTTCTCCCCATTCACATGATTTGGGCGCAGCTTTCATCTGAAGCCACTTCTCTTCACGGGGTGCTCCTGAAAAAACTGGTGACACCATGTGACATCAACAGTCGTCCTGGGGATTCATTTTGCTCCATGACTGCAAAATCCCCTGGTTTTGACGGGAGGTTTATATTGGGTATGGATCAATATCTATTAATACCATTTTTAGGGGGATGAACATCCATAAATCCCAGCTATTTTGATGTGAACTACAGGGGTACAAGGTTTTGACACACTGCCATATTGGGAAAATCATCTAAATAGGGCTGCTGGGGGATTTTCCAGCTGATTCCCACAGGTTTTTACCCGCGGAGCTGTTGCTGGTGCACCCCAAGCCGAGCGTTGTGGGGGACGACCCGTCCCGGGGCTGCAACTCATCAAGCCAGCGATGGCGATTTCGTCAATTGTACATTGATTAGTTGAGATTGTAGGCAGTTAGTGCAATCTAACATAGCTATTGAAAATGGCCCATTTAGAGTTGATTTACCTATTAAAGATTGTGATTTTTCATAGTTATGTTAGTTTACCAGAGGGTATGTACCCCTGCGGTTGTTTCTTGAAACTTCTTTCTTAAGTTCCCACTACCAAGGTTGGTTGCTGGACTGTCTGTGTTGTCCATTTAAGAGCAGTGGGCATTCATTGGGAACCACTCCACTCTTTGGCCATTTTTAGGCACACAGTTTGGGCTCCGTGTTTCCTTGTCTTGCTGGATATGTCATCAGTTCTATTGGCTGTAAGTTGTATCCCTAATTCGTTCCTCGTTTGTTGCTGTTGTCCCCCGGATGTCAAATGTGTATCGGCATCTATTGGTTGCATCCCATTTTTTTTGGGGGAAACACCCTTGGAAAATCCGGATTTTTGATGAAACCCTACTTTTTTGACGAGAGTTTTGACGTAACGATCCCCATGATGGTTAAAAACCATCCTTTTCGATCCCCTCTGGGATTAGCATCTTTAGAGGTTCAACTCAGTCATTTGATGGACACCAAATCAACAATTCTGGTGCCTTGAGAGCTCACTATAAACCAAAGATCTAAACTCGAGCTACAAAGTAATGGAGCGTCAGTAACATTCCAGTTTGTTTTGTTTGTATCCCCCTGAATCACCACTTTTTAACCACCATTACACCACCATCAACGCCCATTAACCCCGTATGAAATACCCGTGACCTCCGGTAATTGGTAGCTATCAAAGTGCAGTAAACACCAAATAAAAGCACCGATTAGAAGGCAGATACTTTTGACATGGTTGCTCCAACCAACTGTGGGTTAATGATAGCTGATAGCCACGAAATTTACATCTTTATTTACCAACTTGTTCCCCCGTATATGTGGGGTGGCCAGGGAGCAAAAATGGTTTGTTAAATCAGTGGGCTATCTAGGGTGTTGGGAGCAACTCCCACATCCTCATTATATCCCAGGATATCTTCCTAAAATGGTTGGTCAATTCTCATGCTTAGATCAGTGTCCCCATTGAAATATATTGAAATGTCAATATGATTCCCATCTATAGATGATTTTCCCATGAAATCAGTAAAATCATCATGAAACTGGCCAATAACCACCAGTGATACTGTGGATTGGGCCAGCGAAATCCTGCAGCAGTTGGTCGATGGTAAACAGCCCACTATAATTCCATGAAATTTACAGTGTTTCATAGTTACCCTCTGATAATTTGTTACTTAGCTATGGTATAGATGGACCATTTAAAGATGATTTATCCATAGCATGGTGATTTTCCATAGTTTTTTGTATGTTTACCAGAGGCTACCAATAGTTACCCCCATCAAGTATAGGTATATCTACCATAAACTCAAGTTATTGGAGTTATATAAACCAACTTAGCTAACTACTTGGTGGCTCATCCCACTTAGTAAGTGGGTTAGTGGGTTATAACCCCAGTTATAAATGGGATAAGTAGGGTTAATCCACTTATAACTGGGGTGAAATAACCCACTTACTAAGTGGGATGAGCCACCAAGTAGGGGGCACCACCGTCACCTAACTCGTTCCCCACCGTTTCGCACGGCTTTTTTCATCCCCGGTGGCCGTGCCGATTTCGATTTTTCAAGGTCTTGGCGGCTAGAGCGCGTGCCTTTCAGCCGCCTGAGCCTTGCCAGCTGTCGGTGCCTTCGTTCAGTTGGTGAACGTGGTTACCCTCTGGTAATTTAACTAGCTATTGAAAATGGCCATTTATAGTGAGTTTTCCCATTAAAAATGGTGATTTTCCATAGCTATGTTAGTTTACCAGAGGGTAGACTACTGCAATCTTTGGAACATGGGAAATCTTTGGAACATCTGATGAAACTCCAACCATTTGCTGTGAAAAACATATGGACATCTCTTCAAGAAAAACCCATTTTCAATAGGTAAATCATCTCCAAACAAATGGGCCATCTATAGCTTAGATTACCAGAGGTATGTGGGTTCGTTGACCTCGAAACCATGGACGGATCGGTTCAACAATCTGGAGGATTTCAGGGGTTAAGGAACATCCAGGAAGCCAGGTTTTTCACCAACCATTGCAGAGGTTAAAGGGGTTCTTTCTAGGCATTGATTTAGAGAAAAGAACATGGGAACACTAAGGAGTTGTAGAGTTGAACCAACCACTAGATTTTTAACAGCTTTCGTTGAAATGTCAACGAATGGGGATTAGTAATCAAGATTAGGGGTTGCTGTCATAACATGGCATAACAAGGGTACAGGAGATTCCTCTGCATGACCCTACAACATATGCGGTTCGCTCAGCCAAACCCTGGAAGTGCCTAGGACCAGGAAGACCCATCAGTTTTGATGATTGTCACAGAAAGCACAATAGATGGTCCCCTCCCTACTCATCAATTGCGTGTCCCCAGAATTCCAATGAATTCCCAAATTTCAACGCCGCAGTGAGGTTCCGAGGTTCCCCAGGAGATAGAACCATAATTTACGAGATGTTCCTAGGATTTTACGTTGTTTCTATCTGGGGGATTGCTGCAATGTTACCCTCTGGTTATGACTAACATAGCCATGGTATAGATGGCCCATAGAAAAAGATGATTTTCCCAGCGAACGAAACCTCCATTGATCAGGGATTTTCCATGGCTCTGTTAGTCATAACCAGATTGTAGTTAGTTCATGTTCGTTCATAGTTCACCTGGTAGTTGTTGCCTCTGTCCAGGCGTGACTACATCCGCTGTGGCCGGCCGTTGATCATCGAGGGCCTTGGACCTCACCTGCTGTCTCTTAGCGAAGAAATATGGTTTCCTTAGATGGGTGTGGGAAACCCAGAAAAAACCTACGTACATTTAATGGGATGGTAAACATGCCACACAGAAAAATGGTGATGGAATGGGGATGGTTTATCATTGGGTTTTCCACAGTACTCCAAAATTAGACCATTTATGACCATTTATGACCATTTTGGTATTAAAACCACTTGTGACTTGGGGATCCCCCATGTAAAGGAAACCCCATATGGGGAGATTCACTATTTTGACTGTGACTATAGCCATCAATAATCAATAATAGGGGTAATCAACCAGTAATCAATAATGAGATCATTGCAGGGCTGAATGTTAGCATATGCTAGCCTCATTTCTTGGAGGGGAAAAAAGTCCACCCCAAACGCAAGGCCACAGATTAGCTGCTGGGGAAGTGACCTGGGGGATGGCCACAGATTTCCATAGATTTGGGAGGAGCTTGGGGATTTCCACCATTGATTCCTCTTTGAGCCTTTGAGCGCCGGAAAAAATCATGAGAATGGTGTTTTTGGATGGATCCTCAGGTGTTGAAGAGAGTGGCAAGCTGACAGTTGTTCTGTGCCTTTGTCAAAATGTTGGTTATTCTCCCATAAAAGCGGATGGTCATCCCCCGATTGTTAGGGCACATAATATATCCATTGAGAGTGGAATCCCATTCATGATGGTGGGATGACCCGGGGCCCCATTCACCCTCATGTTACTTAACCATGGCACATATGCTAACCTTTGGGGACAAGGGGTCATTGCAATCCGTCACAAATTTGCAAAGCACAATTCTGTAGGTAAACCCTGTCTAAACCATTTGCACCCCTGGGTTGTTCCATGTTGAGGCTTTCCCTACCCAGGTAGGGCTCAAAATTCAGTTCTACTGTAGCTCCCCACGAAGATTGACAGCCAATTGTGGATCCAAAAACGTTCCCCATTTGTAGGTTACCATACAAGGGGGCCATGGCGAAGTTGTTTTATAACAAGGCTACCGGCGTTTTGTTTTTGGATTTATGGTATATCAACGGGCGTGTGCCTGGGCACGTTGCACCTTGCACCATGCAACTCTGAGGTCGCAAGAGAGTTGCCATCTTTCGCGCGATTTTCTAAGTCGCCACTTTGGTGAGAAGATGGTTCGGGGACCCAGATGCCACTAAAGGCGTAGCTTTAGAGTGATGGCGACATGATGCGACATTTTTTTTGGATGCCTTCAATTTGTTTTAGTGTTGCTCAGTCTTATTGTAACTGACTAGAGATGCTGAATTTATTTCTTGGTGATTTGGCCATAGGCCCATGGGTCACTTTGTTTAGCCTTGTAGATGACTGACTTTGGCCAATTCTAGTCAAACCCTTCGAATTTGTTGGCCAATGACTTGACTTATACCCAAGTATCCAATGTCATCTCCATTTTGGGTGGTTTGTATCCCCATGTTTATTTGATTCATCTTCATCTTCCATGTACTGTAGACATCTGTAGACTCTATTCATCTCTGCCATGCATTTCTGGATTTGGAACATGCATCGAAATGTAGATGCAGTATTGAAACAGTGATTCGAACTGCCACTTGCAACAGCACCACTTGCGAACCTCACCATAGATGATGCCTAGTCGGAGTCATCCAGAAAAACAGAAGGTTGATTTGTGTTTTTTTCCCCAGAATTGGTGAGCTGTGAAAATTATAGCCAATCCTATAGTCATTGACGTGGTGAATAATGATTTTGAGCCAATTTACCGTTCATTTTCCCAGATATCTTGGCAACTAGATCTCCGAAGATTGCTATCTCATGGTGTTTTTCGAAACAGGTGGCCGTGTTTCGGAACTTCCGGGAGCCAAAGCTGAGGGACGCGGAGGACCTGAATGTCCAGAATGGGAGAATGGCTATGGCATTTCGTGGCGAGATAACTGATATGGCTATGGATCAATACCTATTAATACCATTGTTAGGGGAATGAACATCCATTTACCAGCTATTTTGATGTTCACCAGGGGTACAAGGTTTTGACACACTGCCATATAACCAATGATGCGCCTGATGGTTAAAACATGTTAAACATATATATATATATCGTTTATTTTCAGCCATATCTTCCATGAGGGACTCATATTTTAAGGGGAGTTGACACCGCCAAGCAGTTTACTTTTCTTGGAGGAGGGAGGCTCATCTTGGCCTGGATTTTTGCCATTGTCATTTTGTTTTTCCCCAGTTGCCAGGTGAGGGGCTCTAGATTTTGACAAAGGTGCAAGTCCTTCACCTTCCTCTTCTTCCTCTTCTTCCTCTTCTTCCTCTTCTTTATTTTCTTCCTCGTCTTTCTCCTCTCCTCCTTATGCCAGCTCGTCGTGACGGCACCAAATGGACCCGGCACAGCAAGTGCCAGAAGCTCGTCGCGAACTCCAGATGCAGTGGGGCACGCGTGGACCCGAACACATGCCAGAATGTGAGAATAGATGCCAGAATAGATGAATATCTGCGAAATGTGAGATAGAATGCCAGATAAAATGCCTGATGGACGAGAATGTCACTGGGTGGGGACAACTCGAAGAAAGTAAATTGTTTTTTTTGGAGCACTGGAGGTACCTAAAGCCACGGATCTGGGGGTAATTATGTGACAATGTTCAGCCAAAAACATCCCGGCGGACTCGTTACCGCCGCGCGATTCTGCAAAAAACATGGTTTGATCTGCACAACAGCTCAGTTTTCTGATTGAAAATTGTCTCATGAAAGATGTTGCGTTTTGTCTCAGGTTGCAACTGTGCTTGAAACGCGTCGAATTGCCAGCGTAGCTTTTTCCTTTGTCAGCACTCACAGCTTTGCCAGAGCTTGGCCTGTTTTCACAAGCAAAGACTCTGAACCAAGTTCCCAACGCCATTGTTGGCTGCAGATGTATTCAACACATGAACCATCAGCAAACATATCAACTCACGTACAACCACAAGTGCACAGCGGATCAACACCTATGTCACGTCAATGAAGATGATCCTGAGAACGCACTATCAAGAACGTTATCACACCCCCCACCCCACCCCACCCGAAACCCCCCCAACCAACACCCAGCGTATCAACACCTATGTCACGTCAATAGAAAAAATGTTACCTAACGTATTCATGTATGTGCCAGCGGGATGTATATGTATATTCATCTATATGCCAACCCCACACCACCCCATCCTCATGTTGTCACGAAGCAAGTAGAAGTGGCGTAGCAAGTCAGTGACGAAGCAATTGCAACGTACGTTATCACCCCACCCCAACCCCACCCCAAATTCATGGTCCGGTAAACAGTCCGCTAGCAAAAACATGTAATGGAGATACATCACCATCTTGGAGCGGATTATTTGAACTTGTAGAGGATCCAGTTCAACAAATTTCCATCTCCAGGGTATGTGTTTATTTTTGGGTCAACATTCAACAACAGCGCGCCCCACCGATCTTGTTTATGTTTCGTTCTGCGGAAACAAAAGGATATAGTAGAAAAAACCACCACGAAAAAAACACTAATTACATTTTTTGACGGGAAATATGCATGATTTTGTTTGTTCAAATGTTTGCGTGATCCTGACATAAAAAATCATTCCTTTTCGGGGAAGGCTGGTTTTTTGGTTGGCGTTTCCAGGACCAGATGGAGCTGATGCGTCTTTCTGAGGCAGGAATAGTTTCCTGGAAGTTTCGGAGTGCTTGATGAAGAGTAGGTTGGTGGGAAAAAAAATATCTGTTTTTTTTTTCTAATGGACGTATTAAGAAAGTAAATAACTACACATAACTAGAGGTGTTTGAAGGGTATCTAATCTTGGCTATGGGCCTCCCTGTGGGCGGTGGTCCAATTGGTGAACGGGTTAGCATTTTTTGCCCAGGAAGATCATGTTTTTTCCACATCAATCCATCGAAAAACCACATCAATCCCTAGAAAATCCATCGGCTCTTGATTTCTTTCCCGGCGAGCTGCTCTAGATTTTCGATTTTCGCAGGGACTTTTGGACGATGATGTTTTTTTATTTGTTTTTGAAACTTCTGACCGTTTGGGGTTCCCAAAGAGTCCAAAGGACAGGATGTGTTTTGCACAGTGAAGGTTGCACGGACCAAAGTTGGTGTGTTGAACGAAAACATAGGGCAAAACATTGACATAGATCATTTGTTTGGACTTTGCGACTGCTCTTGAAATGGTCTAGCATGGCTGGGCAATCTAAACTCTGGCTTCATGGAGTTGTGCCTTGAAAAGAGAAATGATCCAATACAACTGGAATAAATTGACTCAACCGTTCAGCCAATGGACCTTCAAAATCTGTGCAATATCTACAATACGACTGCAGTCACAAGACACTGACACTGCAAGAAACCCACAGGGATTTGAACTCTGTCCCAAAAAAGGTCCAAAAATATTGTGTTCGTAGATGTTCGTAGGTTCAATTGCCAGGGACCTGCTCAAATTGTTCGAGTTGCCACCGACTTTTGATCTTCTTATGTCTTGTTTGTTTGATGTTTGGGTGACCATGCAACATTTCAGGTGAGTGAATTCTGAAATGTGCTAATTTATCCAGATATTAACAGATCAATCCAGATATATCCAGATAAATTCAGATAGTTTAAATTATTTTAACATATTAATCATATTTATCAACATCCATTTCAGGTCAGTCAATTCTAATTCAAAGGTTTCCACCATCGATTGGTGAAAAGCTGCCCTGGCCTCACCGACCCACGTGGAGGCGATTGGAGCACTTCAACGTGGTGGATCGGAGGGTCTGTGCGCATGACAGCTGGAGCTGGTAGCGCGTTTTTTTTTTTGGGGGGGGGTGGTGGGATGGGTGATATTCATGGGATTTCATATGGGTGAATATGGGATAAGAGTAGATACTTGTGGGATAACTATAATATACATTAATATACATTGCGCCCGCTGTGCGGGTAAGACATTTCCACCCGCAGACGAAGACGAATTCCGAAGACGAATTACGAAGACGAATTCCCCGAAGACGAATTCCCCCCCGAAGACGAATTCCCACCCGAAGACGAATTACGAAGACGAATTCCCCGAAGACGAATTGCCCCCCGAAGACGAATTCCCACCCGAAGACGGATTCCGAAGACGAATTCCCCGAAGACGAATTGCCCCCCGAAGACGAATTCCCACCAGAAGACGAATTACGAAGACGAATTCCCCGAAGACGAATTGCCCCCGAAGACGAATTCCCACCCGAAGACGGATTCCGAAGACGAATTCCCGGAAGACGAATTGCCCCCCGAAGACGAATTCCCCCCCGAAGACGAATTGCGAAGACGAATTCCCCGAAGACGAATTGCCCCCCGAAGACGAATTCCCCCCCGAAGACGAATTGCGAAGACGAATTCCCCGAAGACGAATTGCCCCCCGAAGACGAATCCCCCCCCGAAGACGAATTGCGAAGACGAATTCCCCGAAGACGAATTGCCCCCCGAAGACGAATTCCCCCCCGAAGACGAATTGCGAAGACGAATGCCCCGAAGACGAATTGCCCCCCGAAGACGAATTCCCCGAAGACGAATTGCCCCCCGAAGACGACTTTTTCACCAAGGACTTGGGAGAAAAGCATGCATACACTCAAAGCCTACATGCATGTCATATATGCATCTAGTTTTTATTTTGTCAAACGGTAGGGACATTTTTTTGTCCATGGTGGGTTTTTCACCATATAACGGACGTCTTTGTTTGGTTCACTTGCATATTTTCCCTACAAGGGCCTGTCATGTTAGGAACTGGGCCCCCAGTTCCAGGAACTGGCGGAACCATGGTCACGGTTTCAAGGGTTGGTTTATGGACCCCAACACCGATCATGATGACTATAACGAAGGAGGTAACGAAATGAACGACTTGGAAAAAAGGAAGAGATAAACAAACCGCATGTAAGACTTGAAAAAAGGAAGGAAATAGCGACATGAACGCATTGACATGAAAGGAAGAGGTAAATGAACAGGATGGAAGCGTTGAAACGAGGGGGAGGAAGTAGCGAACGGAAGGGAAGAGTTAAACCGATTTAAAGCGGAAGGAACGACGTATATACGAAAGAAGCAGCGAACGGGATTACAAAGAGTTGAAACGAAAGGAAGGAAGCAACGAATGGAAGGGAAGAGTTGCAACAAAAAGACGGACGCAATGAAAAGGACGAGTTGACAGGAAAGGAAGAGCAGGAAGAACAGGACAGAAGATTTGAGCGAAACGACGGACTTCGCGAAATGAACGCCTTTAAATGAGAGAAAGAGGTGGACGAATAAGATGAAACAATGGGGAGGAAGTAACGAACGGAGCAGAAGTTAAAACGAAAGGAGCGACGTAGGGAACAGAAGGGAAGACAAAACGAAAGGGAAGAGTAACAAACGAAATGCTCTGGATGCTATAGCCTCTGGGCTTGCTCTTTGAGATTTTGAAAATTCTTTTGATGCTACGCTCTTGGCCTTCACCTGAGGCGCTTCAGCACGCCCTTGACGCTACGCTCTGGAGACAGTCGCCTCTTGAATGCTATGCTAATTTTCTCTTGGAAGTTCGAACAAGCTCTTGGTGCTACGCTCTTGGCTTAATCTTGGGTTTTCCGACACGCTTTTGCTGCTACGCTCTGAGCATCTCTTAGCTTTCTCCTGGGCCAGTCCGGCAAGCTCTTGATGCTACGCTCTTAGCTGTCTATTGGAACTTCCAACACGCTCTTGGTGTGTTTTATCTTCCAACACTTTCTCTTTGCCTTGTCCTGGGACGTGCCAGCACGCTCTTGACGCTACGCCCTTGGCTTCTCATGAAGCATGGCGCGCTATTTTTTCTTCTTTTTGTGACGCATTGAGTTAAAACACGCTCTTGATGCTACGTTTTTGGCTCCGGCTCTGACACTCTCTTGATGCTACGCGCTGAACCTCGTCTTGGAACAATCCAAGATGCTGTTGACGCTACGGTCCACCACAATCGTGATGATACGCTCTTATAATTTTTCTTGGAACTTCCAACGCGCTCTTGTTGGTGCTACGCTCCGCCTCTTGACGCTGCGGTCTGGAGAAAGTCACGCTCTTCCTGCTACGCTCTTAGCTTTGTTCTGGAACACGCCAGGACGCTCTAGTTGCTACGCTCTTTTGTTCTTCGCTTGGTGCTACGCTCTGACCTCCAACACGTTCTGGATGCTAGACTCTTAGGTTTTTCTTGGTCCTTCAACACGCTCTCTTGGTATTGCTCGCTTAGGTTTCTCTTGGAACTTCCAACAGGCTCTTGGTGCTACGCTCTTGACTTCCTCTTGGAACTGCCAGCGTTCTCTTGATGCTAGCCTCCTGTGCTATGCTTTTAGCATCTTTTAGCCTTGGAACTTCCAGCAGGCTCTTGATGTTACGCGCTCAACTCCCGCATGTTCTCAATGCTACACGCTCAATACTTTTCATTGAACTTCCTGAGCTTTCTCCTGGAACACTCCGGCGCTCTCTTCGTTTGGGTTTGGTAAGAAGATAAGAAGGTTCTACTACTTCAACTTAATGATTGATCCTTGCCTCAAGGATCTTCAACTGAGGTTGCAAAAGCGCGCCACACGATCTTGAATAATTACCTCTACGCTTTATATTTCGACATAACCTAGCCTTGGTGGTCAGGCCAAATCCCTATCTGCCCTCCGGCTCCTCTTCCTCTCTACATTCCTCTATTTATCTTCCCACATACAAAGAATACAGTACGCCTGCGCCCTTGCTCGTCATGCCTAGCCTGTCAACAGGCAATGTGTCGTCAGGCAATAATATACACACAATGCGTCGTCAGGGGGTAATGCGTTGTCAGGGGGCAATGCGTCGTCAGGGAATGTGTCGTCACAATGCGACGTCAGGGGGCAATGCGTCGTCAGGGAATGTGTCGTCACAATGCGTCGTCAGGGGGGAATGCGTCGTCAGGGTATTTTTTTGTCACAATGCGCCGTCAGGGGGTAATGCGTCGTCAGGGGGCAATGCGTCGTCAGGGAATGTGTCGTCAGAATGCGTCGTCAGGGGGTAATGTGTCGTCAGGGAATGTGTCGTCACAATGCGTCGTCAGGGGGTAATGCGTCGTCAGGGGGCAATGCGTCGTCAGGGAATGCGTCGTCACAATGCGTCGTCAGCGGGTAATGCGTCGTCAGGGGGCAATGCGTCGTCAGGGAATGCGTCGTCACAATGCGTCGTCAGGGGGTAATGCGTCGTCAGGGAGTAATGCGTCGTCAGGGAATGTGTCGTCACAACGCGTCGTCAGGGGGCAATGCGTCGTCAGGGAATGTGTCGTCAGAATGCGTCGTCAGGGGGTAATGCGTCGTCAGGGGGCAATGCGTCGTCAGGGAATGTGTCGTCACAATGCGTCGTCAGGGGTTAATGTGTCGTCAGGGGGCAATGCGTCGTCAGGGAATGTGTCGTCACAATGCGTCGTCAGGGGGTAATGCGTCGTCAGGGGGCAATGTGTCGTCAGGGAATGTGTCGTCAGAATGCGTCGTCAGGGGGGCCGGGGGCATCGCCAATGTGTCGTCACAATGCGTCGTCAGCGTCAGCGCGAAATGTCTTACCCAAGCTGCGGGTGCCCTGAATATGTTATATATATAATATACACTGTATATATATATATATGATGATAAACCATCTTGGGACTTGACATGCCCCATTGCGATCTTGAAATCAGTCTATGATTTCACCTATTTGCTCTCCAGCATTGTGCTATAAATTAAATGATTCAGATACCATTCGGGGAGACACATCCATAAACAATAGCTTTTTTATGCGAACATCAGGGGATTCCAGCATGCTCTTGTTCCATCGCCAAATCAGCAAAGGCTTTGTGTTTCCACAAGAGCTTGGGGGTTGACCAACGAAAATGAAGGGAGGATTATCAGACTCCCGCTCCAAATTCATTTGGAATCATATGTCCTGGCAAATTTTTCCGGGTCACCCAGTCACATTACATGATTTACATGGATCAGTGCTCAGTCCTTGAATGAGTCTTGGATGACCATAGCCCACAGCCTGGCTTAGCCTGGCACGCGGCTCCCACCACGTCGCATGGGGTGAATCCTTGACATCCCGGACATCCCAGGTATCTTTACGACGTCTCTCTTCCGCTGAAATTGCCTGGGTGGGACTTCCTGGGACGGGCCCCTGTTGAAACTCGTGTAGAACTGCTGGGAAAGACCCTTGTTTTCGGATGTTTTAGGTGCCTCAATGTTGACTCCAAACATGTCTGGTGTCGTAGAAAGATGTAACAAGAAGGGGAACGCAGTCAGCTGTACAACATGTCAAGGTTGCTAGAGATGTTTACCTTGGAAGTAAAGATCCCTTAAAGGTATTTAGGTGAAATGCTACCAGTATTTGTTTGGGAAGACAGCGCTGGTTGGTGGTTTGGAATAGTTTGGAACATGGCTGGATTATGATTTTCCATATATTGGAAATAATCATCCCAACTGACTTTCATATTTTTCAGTCGGGTAGGTATACCACCAACCAGTAAGGATTTGTATGCCGAAAAATCCCGGGTCTTTGGGAAAGCAGCCTTCTCATTTCCAGATCGTTTCCAGATCCTCACGTCAACGAAAGCCAGGCTTTTGGAACACGTGAAGCTGCCACGATATTTCACGCACTGCTACTTGCAGCAGACCATGAGGCGCGCTGGCTGCACTGCTGCACTTCCAAGATGGATCGGGGTCCAACAAATGTTGGGCTCTTAGAAACACAGATAGATAATGGCAATATTTAGACCATGTTGGGCTCTTCTTTAAGCCAGGACACACACACACATCAGGACACGATATTATCATTATATCTACGTATATATATATATATATTAATATGTATAAATATGTAGATATATACATATGTTATGTTTATATAATGGTCAAAATATGTCAAAACTTCTTTGGGCCCTGGCAAGTCACAGATGAAATGGTCCTTCTTTGTAGGATGCCACGCCATTTTCTTTGAAAACCAGTTGCGACCCCCAATGTGACATAGTTGGGCCCCGGTCCCTTTTTGGAACCAAACCCAGCGACTCCATATCATATAGGCGATTATTTGCCAAGATTTTACGTCAGAAATGGCTGAAATGTGGAATATCATACATGGAGCATATGGGACTGCGAATCTTACGCCACATTGTCCACATTGGGAATCAACATGTAGAAATATGTAGAATGTTCCAGTCAACTGCCCCTCATCCCAGTGCAACCGCTGCCCGTTTGAGGCCTCACTGCTTCAGCAAGAGTTGGCCCACGTTGTTCATTGGAGCCAAAGATTCTCAAGCTGCTTGGCGGGATTTCGCAGGTGGGACTGTGGGAAAGTCTGGGGAAGTCCTGCTGGGTTTGTGAGATACCAAGCTTGGGAAACAACTGATTTTTTGTGATATGATGGTTTCCACAAAGGAACCCCCCATATTGATATTCGGATCCTCTCAACATAAGCATCAAAGCCTGCTGATTTCCGCTGCCTACACTAACTCCATGCAACTCCCAACTTTAGAAAAATACCCTCCAGAAATCAAACATGACTTGCTGGCAAATCCCACATGCTGGGTATCATTTAGATTCATTTAGATTCAGCTATAACCCTCCATAAAAGAGGGCATTTCCCCGAAATTCCATGTTTGATGACCCACGGCATCCTGTTTTTTCAATGTGGCCCTTTTAATGACACCCGAGGCCCGGCTGCATGTGGACCAATGGCACAGCCACTTTTGGATGCACCTCACTTCCGGTTTGGGAGCTGAGCTGGGGGTAACAAAAATTGATGCTGGTGGGGTCGAACCAACCGGATTCGCAATGGGTGAGTCACTTCTTGGTATACGGATGTTTTTGGTATATCATGGTACGGTGGAAATTCAAGGCCTTTATTTGTATGTATTTGATTGTATTTGTTTATTTTTAGATTCCACCAAGTGATAAGTATATTGATTCAGATTGGAAAGGGAACGCGGCTTTAACATGCTTTAACGATCTCTTTGGGGAACCTCTATAACATCCTATAACTGCGGAGTCCCATCCAAGATGGTAGTGGATTTTCCCAGCGTAAGAGAGGGGAAAGATCATTTGCAGGATGATCAAATGGATTCTAGTCTGTGACGGAATCCGAACAAGACCCCATCCCGGTGGTTTTCGTAGGATGGGACCCCAGAGATTTGAAGTATTCGTCGTCCGTTTGTTTGGATTTGAAATCTTAGGAACTACACTCTGGTGAACTAACATAGCAATGGAAAATCACCATTTTTAATGGGAAAATCCACTATTTCTATGGCCATTTTCAATAGCTTTTTGTATGTTCACCAGAGGGTAAACACGGTCTTTCGATCTGGCGCATCTCCTTTTTGCGTCCCCATGTTCTGGTGGAGTCAACTACCAGCCGAAGCCCTGCAGCTGTGGCACACAGTCGGCTGCTGGGTTGATCTTGCCTAGTGATGTGGCCTCAAGGATTTTCAATGATGTTTTTTTTGGTTTTTGGAGTCTCAAATGTTATAATATGTTATAATTAGTCCATTGCAAGAGCTTTCAAAGCTGCATCTCATATATAATTAACATAATTATAGAATGCTTGCTGACATTTACCTGACATTTACCTGACATTTACCAGGCCCCCCTCCCTTATTAAATGGCTAGTGATATGATAGAAAACCAGTCATCCAGCTGGAGTCAGCCATCACATTTCGCCCCGCAATGCCTCGGGACTTCCGAGCATGGCGTGAACATCGGAAGGAGAAGTCTGCGGAAGGCGGCCTAAAAAAAGGGATCCAGCGATATTTAATGTTCCACAGAAACCATCACAAACCCATATTGGTGCTATATGTGTGTATATATATACCCTATGGATCCAAACACTGTCTGAGAAAGTACTTAAGCCTCCAAATTATAGTAAATTATACCCCAAACACTTCCTAAGAAGGTACTTGGATCCATAGGGATATTATATATATATTCCATTTTCTATACTGTAGCCATCAATGGCTGGTTTTTTACGGATGATGTTCCCATTAAAACCATATGAAACCCAGCAAAATTCAACGTTCTTCATGACTTTGCCATGGAAATGTAGTCATCCTGGAGTAGATATGGCCATGTCAAAAAATTGACACATCCCCACTAAAATGGGTATGGTTTGGTCTGAAAATAGGCCAAAGCCCAAATCTAGTGGTGAATCAATATGAAGAATCATCATTGTCCGATAGTTTCAATATGAATTCTCTCCCTCTGAAACAGCATTCGAGTGTTGGGTATCCCCCCATTTCACTCTATCATATCCCATGAGGGATCCATGGTGGAAAAAAATGCGAACATGACTGGGGTTTTTGTTGATGGGATCCATGGAGCACCATATAGCAGCACCGTTCGGATCCAAATCCACCGAAATCCCAGTGCCGAGGGTCCCAGTTGGATTTCAGGATTTCATGGGTGATTTATAGGATAGTAATATAGTATAAATATCATGAAATATCCATTTAAATATCTACATTTTTTAAAAAAAAAAATCCATATAAATGTGTAAAGACTCTCCATAAATGGTATTTCCATTAAATATCCATTAAATATTTCCGTAAATCCATAAAATGTAGATATCCCATTGGTATTTCCAGGTCATCTCCCCAAACAATGCTCATCATCATCATCATCATCATCATCATCATCATCCCTGAGGCGTTGGAAACTGGAGGCCGTGGCTGGTTCCAAGCATTTTCTATGGGACATCTATGGGAAATCTATGAAAAATCTATGGACATCTATGAAAAATCTATGGAAATCTATGGAGATATACGATTCAACCACTGGTTTCTGGTTATGTTTTGGGCTGCATGCGGGTAGTTGTTCATGCTCTAAAACCATCTAAAACCCACAGGGTCCCAGTGATTTTTCACCGGGAAATCTCCCAGTTCCCTTCACTGCCATGGCAGCCCCCCAAAAAAGTCCTGCGGAGCCAGGGCACCGAAGAAATGGGCGAGGGCAGAAAAGGCTGAGGACGGGAACGACGGGAACCACGGGAACCGGGGTTTCTGGTGAGAGAATGACTGGTTGGTGGTTTGGAACATGGCTTTTATTTTTCCATTTCATATATGGGATGTCATCATATGTCATCCTTCCCATTGACGAACTCATATATTTTTCAAGATGGTTTTTTAACCACCAACCAGATGATTTCGTAGAAACACTTGGACATCATGGGGGATGCAACGAATTTTCCAGCGGTGCAAGCGCAGCCGAACTTTTTGTTCTCACCAGACTGAATGGTGTAAGCCTAAGCTCAGAAATTCGGGTAACTCAGTGCCATTTTGACAGATCAGGGACCGGCATATCAACCTCAATCTCAATGTTTCCCAATATTGGGCAGTCCCTGCTCCCTCAAATTATAGACACTCCACACTTTCTATGACTCAGTCATTGAGAGTCATGACTATACTTATACAATCTGATGGCTCAGTATGCATCTCAGCACCGGGGCTTTCCAGGGTTTTTGAAACTAAATTTACAACGGAGAACTATCAGCAGCACGCCAAAATGGGCATGTCCGAAACTAAGACCGTTTCATTGCATTGGTTTACAGGAAAACCTGCGGAACCAAAACATGACAAAACCTCGAATCTGATTGAAAAATCCACTCAGTAATGAATGGTGATGATTGGATTTTAGTGCTTCATAGTGCTTCAGTTTCGGGGGTCTCCGTTTTCTTGCCAAACATCGACTGCGGTTTTTGAATTTCAGCGTTGCTATCGGAAGGACTGGCGAAAGAAGGAATTGGAGTTGGGATGCCCAGAAGGATGAGCAACGATCCTGTGATGATTTTTTCCCGTTCAAACATGTTCAAAGCAGGGAAAGCAACATGAGGAACTGCCAGAGTCTGCCAGGCCTTTCCATTCCTAGTGATGTGACGTTAATTATTGCCTCACAAGAATGCAAAACAATACTTATTCTGGCGACCACATTGACAGAGCTTGCCATGAATTATGGCTAGTATGCTAGGCCTGGGAGACCATCGCAGAACGTGAGCTTTGTCTCACACCAATGGAGCTAGTACCTTTGAGACTTCACCAGGGGCTTAGTTGAGACCATTCGGCGTTGTTAAGCATCGACTGTGAGGCGGTTAAACTGCACAAAGTACCACTACTTGAAATTCGTGGAGAGACAAAAGGTGGTCCGGAGACCCAGCTGTTGGCGGAGTTTCCGTACTGGGCGGCTGCATCGCCGAGTGATGATATATATATATATATATATGAGCGACGGCTCTTATTTGCGTATATGGAAAGTAGTATTCGGGCATACCCCGGTTTGTCAAAAACATCATATTTAGCTTGTAAAACGAGGTAGGAACACCCCAAGAACGAGGTAGGCAAAAACGTTACGGGACTTTTGAACGAGGTAGGAACACCCCGTCAATTGCGTTATGTAACAAATATGGTTCGCAGCTCATATACAATTAATATATATATATATAGAATGGGATAGTCTATGATAGTCTATGATAGTCTATGATAGTATATGATAGTATATGATAGTATATGATAGTATATGATAGTATATGATAGTATATGATAGTATATGATAGTATATGATAGTATATGATAGTATATGATAGTATATGATAGTATATGATAGTATGTGATAGTATGTGATAGTATGATTTGTGGCCTTGGTGGGATAAGCAGAGCATTTTTGAGATCAATGTTACGCGAGATGGAGATTTACTTTACGCGGTGGAGAATATAAATGGTGCAGCTTCAGTGGGAATTGGGAGAACACATGTTTTTTTTGGCACGCTTGAAATCAGGTCTTTGATTAAAACCAACCATTATTAACCATTATTAACCATTATTAGTGGTTAATAGAACCACTTCAATGTTTTTTTTTGAGATAGGTCTTTGAAAGCGGTCTTTGATTGATTCACGTCGTAGGGGATGGATAGCTGGGGATTTGTTTCGAGGCTGGGGAGTGATGGGGACGATTTTCTCAACATGGCAGTGAAATGGGATGAAATGGTTGGATGTACGACTGGACGTTGACTGGAAAAGGAGTGGTATCATAGACAAGCCTATACCCATAGGATCCATGTATGCTATATATGGTAACATCTACCATCAATATACCCCCAATGTTAGCATATATACCATACATGGATCCTATGGGATATAAAGATGGTGATTCGCTCAAGTGGCATTTAAATTTCGTGGGGAACATGATCATCAAGAGATGGATGCCCTCTGGTGGCTCAAGCCAACATCAATTGACGCACCAGACCCAGCGCGGAGAAATTGAACCCAGATTTCCCATGGATTGGCTTAACATGATTCAAGCCACTGTGACCCTGACGAGTGGTCGCAGTGAGAGCCTTTCAATTTCACCGTTCTCCAAAGTAGGCGACCTGAAGGCCCTCGCGCAGAAGTCCTTTGGACTGTACTTCTCAAGGCTTGTCACTGCAGACGCCTTGGCATCCTGAGTGATTCTGTGCAAACACTCAAGGCTGCAGGGCTTCAAGATGGCGACCAGCTCATCAACTGAAGATGCTTTTGCTGGTGCTGGGGCGATGGAGTTGTTACATGGGGCGGTCCAGGATTAGGTGGCTCGGGAGTGATCAGCTGAGGAGTGTGCGGCAGATTCAGGCCACAGCTGGTGCATTTGCTGCCAGTCCAAGATCAGCTGACGGGCGTTCAATGTATTCAGGGGACGCATAGCGCTTTTGCTGCGATCCTGGAAAAATGGATTTTTCGTCACATGGGGCGATCTAGAATTCGGTGCTGACAGCTCCCATGTCCTAGTTTTTAGCTCACGAATGCGCGACACATAAGTAGTGCATTAATCCTGCCATGGGAGACGGCTCGATTGTTACGTGGACAGCTGGATCCTTGATGCTGAAATCCTGAAAAATCTCAGTCGGATTTAGCAATCACCCAGGCACCCTACACGAAATTATATAGTTATAGTTATATAATGTTATATATATAACATGCCGACATCACCATCAAGCATGATAGAAGTATGGTGGATATGGGCAATAGATTTACGTTTAAGGAAGTGGGCCTGACCAAAAACGATCGACGCAAAAAATTGAAGACCAAAAGGCAGTGGAGAGAGACATGGAGAGAGGGAGATAGAGAGATATGTAGAGAGAGGAAGAGGGAGAGAGAGGGAGAGCGCGACAGAGAGGGAGATTGACAAGGAACAACACAGCGTTGGTTCAATCGGAACTTCCTGAAATTGTGACTTCTGGGCTTTCCATGGCTTTCCAACATATAAAAACAAATGAACATGGGCGAGCGTTGAAACGGGGCAGCAAGATCACCACAGCAGATAGGAATAGTGTTAATCTGACCCAAGCTGTTGTTTTTTTTTTTTTATCTTACCGCAATGAGAACTGGAAGGGCCCCAAAAGTCTTATTTAATCAAACCGGGTCTATCATTTCGACATATACAAAGTGACTTTCTCTCATGGATGATTCCAGGAGCGACGAATGAAGACATGCAAGAAGCAACTGTCCGTGGCTCTAGAGAAAGGGCAAGAGGAGCCGACGTTGCAGAACTAGTTGCACGACAATGTGATGATTCCCCCGAAGTTTCTATGGTGGAAGTTTAAACAGCAAAAAATGATAAAAATGGGTGAAAGGTCACCAGTTGAAATAAAAACACTCCCCCAGGCCCAAATCACCATTTTTATAGGTGGTATAAACCATTCCCGTGGTTTATATATTATTGTTTTACCCACATTACTGTGATTTATTCACCTTAAACACCATGGACTTTAAAAGGCCATCTCGCTGAATCCAATAGAATTATATAGCTCAAAAAATGCTGATTGATGATGTGATTAGGGTGACTATTTTCAGGTTTGTGAATTATTGTTTTTTTTTTCCATACAGTAGGTGATGGTGCAACCAGCCAAAAGATAGAAAAGTGTTATGTTTCCAGGATGTTAGTTTGATCATATTTACTTGAACAAATTTCCAGGTTTCCCACGTTTCTACCTGTCTTGGGATTGCTATAATCAAAATATGGGGTTGTCTGAAAATTGGGAAGCACAAAAAAAATTGGGGAACACACCATTTTCAGACACACCGATAATATATCCAGCAGGTGAGGTCCACGATTTACCATCAGGAGGAAGCTGAGACTCTGCGCCGGACGCTGCGACAGCACTTGGCAGATCATGAGTGCGCGGCAGTGATATCGCAACGTGGATATCCATGGGGGTGCGATTTAAGTCAAAACTGGGGAAATCCTTGGTCAAGAGTAGTTTAGCACTACATATATATATAATTATATATTATTAATATAACTATGTATATATATATATAACTGTATTAACTTAGCATGGTGCTGTAACACGTTTTTGGGGTCTCTTTAGAAGTACTTAAGGAGCATAATTGTATTGAGAAAAACTCATTATGTTGACCTCTTAAGGAGTATAATTATACTGATTATACTCCTCATTTTGGCCCCTTAAGGAGTATAATTATACTGATTACATATACTCCTTATTTTGGCCCCTTAAGGAGTAAACTTATACTCCTTATTTTTGCCCCTTAAGGAGTATAATTATACTGATAATACTTCTTATTTTGGCACCTTAAGGCGTATAATTATATTCCTTATTTTTGCCCCTTAAGGAATAATAATTGTAATATACCTATTTTGGGGGTTTGTTTTACCATTCATTGTGGTTTGAAATTATACCCAATTTCTAGTCTCGTTCTGGGCAGAAACTGACGCTTGACAGTTTACATTATATTTTTGGGGAATTGTTTTTTGGTGGCTAAACGATTAAATGATACAGTATCAGTGGTATCAGCTATCCATTGTATATTTCCAAACATTAATGCACAGGGAGCTTGATTCCATAATTTTTGGTGTCCATCTATGTCACAAACTTCAACACTCAATGGTGGTGTCTGTGACATGCCATGACTCAAAGATCTATCCTGTGCCAATGCAAGTCTGGCAAAACCTACTGGGGGCTGCCAAGCATAAATGCTACAAGTCGGTGCTTAGGCATTTCAACAATCTGAACAATCCAGTTCCAAATGAATCATGGAAATCTGTAAACGAAACCTGCTGAAAGCTGGGGGTTCCAAAATTGGAAATTTGGAGGCCCAACAATTGCCAAATTTCGAGCCCAAAAATTGCAAGTCTTTGGCCCCCAACAATTGCCAAATTACCACAAAATGGCAAACTGTCGCATCTTTCGGGAGAACTTCTACTCCTTAACTGCCCACTTGAGTATCATTTCTCCAGAATTTTCTCCCTTTTTTGTCTCCCCAAAAAAAGTCCGGAATTTGTGTACTCCGATCCCATGGTCCCATGGTGATTCATCATGAGTCGATGTCAAAAGTCATTGATGGAATCATATCATTATCATACAAAGTGGGGCCCCCAAACGATAGCTAAGTTGGTGCAAATAACTCCAGTAACTATGGTTTATGGTACCTATAACTATATAGTTAATGGGGTTTATAAACCATCTTATAACTGGGCGGGGCCACATTGTATCATAGTATTAACATAAATCGTCCAAATCAACAATTCAAATTCATAATATTCATCATCAAAAACCATAAGTCAGGACTGAATCAGAATTTCATAAACCACAAACGTTGAAGCAAACCATGAATCATAAATTATGATTCATAAATAAGTTTGATAATATTATCATGGATCATTGGCAATCATTGATCATGAATCATAAATTATCATCAGAAACCTTACATCAAAAATCATAAAATCAACTTGCAAGATGTGACTGTTTAGCAGTTGAGCCATTGCGTTTCTATCTGGGGCGGTCCAATTATTTGAGCTATTCCAAATGCACTTCGGTTTCAATTAACGCACCACCAAATATACTGTATATATACTGTATATAAATAAAGTAATATAATAGAGAAATATGGGAGCATAATTCAGCATGGTGAATACTGCAGAAATAATACCTCAAAATTTTATCCCCTGATCTGGAAATTTAAGGATAATAATTTCTAAATTTACAGTAAGGGGTATAATTTCTCAATTTAAGGGGTATGATTTCTCAATTTAAGGGGTATAATTTCTCAATTTAAGGGGTATAATAAGACAATTTAAGGAGTATAAGTATACTAGTAGTGTAAGGGTTACAATAAGACAATTTAAGGAGTATAATTATACTCCTTAACTAGTAGTTTTAGGGGTATAATAAGACAATTTCAGGAGTATAAATATACTCCTTAGCTAGTAGTTTTAGACGTAAAGAAAACATGTTAGAGTGACATGCTAATATACGACTACATATTTAATTATATATATATTGTGATTTTGGAATAAAGTGCCCATCTATACTGACACACACACACACATTTATATATATATATATATAATCAGTTTCTTTTTTTGCGGGGTACCTAAGATTGGCGGTGAAAATGGGGTAGCTTGAAGGTATCCATCGCCCAAATGCCTAACAATACTGGATCCATGCTTGGCAAAATCAGGTAAAATCGGAGGGAGATTAAATTGAATCAGAACTACTTACAAGTTTGACTCTCAGGTATTGGTTTTCACATGTCGTTCTTATTCATCTCAATCTTATGCACACATGGACCCACAAACACATTTCACCATAGTTCACCATTTTGAGACTTTCCGCGGAACCACAAACCAGGTACATTCGGCACTATCCCAAGCACTTGCCTTACAACGCCCTTTTCCCTGTGCCTTGACATGCCCTGACCATGGTTGCAGAAGCTGAAAAAGAACATGTTTTTTTTCGGAGGCTGTCTGATTGGATGTTTGGATATGTTTGGATATTGAGGTCAGAGAAACCACTGGAAGAGTGAACTCCACATGAGATGAATAGTAAATCGATGTACAATAAATTGATCACTGCGAATATGATCCTTGAAGGAACATATGTCAAAATATTGGTCTTGAATGTGTTTTGCTGTTTTTTTTTGTGGAATACCAATGATACCAATCATTTCCTGCCGCGCCCAGATGCCAAGAGCACCTCAAATATGTAGGTTCATTCCCCTACTAAAACACGGTTTCCCTTTGTGGTGTTTAATATAAAAATGGGGGAGGGGATTAGAAGTATAGAAAAGATGAATTTTACCAAAATCCTGGAAGTCGTTTGTTTTGGTTTCTTTGATACCTCGTTTGGATAGAGCGGGGCATGGATATGATGATGAGGATTTCTCCGGAAGTTGGCTTTCGATCAATTAATCTACCCGGACCTACTTGGAGCACATGGAATATTATCAATCTAGTAGCTTATTAATCTATACCTATTATTGTCATCAATCTCATATCAATCTAGTGGAAATTCACTCCCTGGATTACGCTTCCCTGGACCAGCTGTGGGTCCTGCTTGCCTAGGCCACTGATTCGGAAGCATCCCAGAAGCGACGGGAGGCGGATCCTCTGCATTTGCAGTGCGGTTTGATGCTTTAACGAGTCAACAATCTCCTGATTCATGATCTTTTTTTTCTAAACATAAAAAATCATTATGAGAACAACCAGTGTTATCTAAACAACCATATTAAGATTTTGAAAAGTCAACAATCCAACTGGATCTAAATCTAAACAAAAACCAGTGTTGAAAGATTTTGAAGGATGTTGAAAACCCAGTTGGATTGAAGGAGATCCGCAAGATGATCCGCGAGCAGCTGGAGAAAGAAGGCCTTCCTTCGCCCTGGTTCGATCGTGGCCCGATCGGGGCCAGATCGTATCAAATGAACATGTTGAATTTGTATTCATGATATTTTATGCTGTCCTATGTTGATTTTATGATGTCCTTTATGTTGATTTACCATATACCGGAGACTAAGTTACTATTTATCATCACTTCACGAAGTTTCCCATGGGCCCATATGAGTCCAAAGGTTCAACAGTGAATCTCCCGTCAGTTGGAAGTTATGGCATACCATGGAATCTACCTATTTAAGTGGGGTTAAACCAATCAAATGATATGCCATATTAAACCATATTATGCCATATTATACCTAAATCAAATGATACCACTACCTATTGTACCATATTTGTGGGGTTAAACCATGTTAAACCTCAATTCGCCAGCCATTTTGGTGTAGAAGGACAGAAGGGTACCAGCGTTTGACCCATATACCACCATATTTATCAATCAGTATGTCCTTCAGTGGTTTTATCACTCTTCTGCAATCTATTGCAATCTTAAAGCCTCATTTTTGTTGTGACATTTGTGACTCGTTTCTACCTATCTTCTCCCGAATCATCGCTACCAACTCACCTTTCGTTCAGGCGTTCCTTCGGCCCTGCCAGATGTGCTCGCGGACGAGGCGGCCAGGGAGCCTGAGGGAGCCAGGGAGCGATGGCTATCCATATTGCCACCAAAAAATGTGCAGCCACGGCGACATTTTCCAAACTTTTCCGGGGATATTCCAGCATTTAATTCTTTGGGAAGTGGAAGTACTAGAAAAAAAAATGATCTAAAAGTATGCTGATAGGAGTAGGAATGTGCAAACGATGGTCAAAGATAATTTCCAGTGCGAGAAATGTAGTCTAGTTTGCCAGAACAATGCCTATGTGTGCCTCAAAATCGCGGATTTACATAGATTTGACCCCCAAGTTAAGTGGCCATAGAAACTACGAAAATGATATGATTTTACTGATTTTAATCATCGGATTTGGGGGGACAAACCCTTGAATTTTAACAAGCAAACAATAGGGATTCAAGCATGAACGTATTAATGTTTGTGAATGGTAGGTGATTGGATGTTTTGCCATAGGTAAATCCTATGATCCTATCCCATCCAGAAACTCGTGCAAGAAAAAAAACAGGGGCATGGGATGACTGTAGGGGAACAGGTATTACAGGAAACTTGATGACTAGATGGTAGTCAGAATTATCTCGTCAAACTATGCAGTATTTACATGATGACTATATGACTATATGGCATTAACATCATATATCATTAACTTTAGAACGGGTTCTTGTATCTTGGCAAACTAACAGGTCCATCTTTTGGTGATCTTCAGGGTACCCGTGTTCTGACCCATAGCCTATTTGTTTGTTTGAATATACAATGTACATGAATGTACTTAACTGTACTTGCATTGACATCATTAACACTGATCACTGATTTTATTAAAACCATATTGTACCAGCTGAATTGTGATTGTTGTGTCTTTTCCTCTCGTGTTATATGTCCAGTAGTTATCTTTGTATCGTCATATCCCCACGATTGTCCTAAACACGATAGTAACAACCCCTTTTTCATCCAACAGAGTTTTATTGAACAGCAAATTTTCTTCCAAAAGCCAAACATTCTGCATGATTTAATATGATTTATGGATGATTTATGGATGATTTATGGATGTTCCCACATTTTGGATCCTTAAATTAGCTATGGCAGCAGTATGTTTTTTTCCGGTTGACCACATGAGTTCTCCACGTTTCGGGCCATGTAACCTTCCCAGGCGACTCCCGCGACTCCCAAAGCGAAGTCGTCCGACCAAGGCGCGGCAGCGGTGGTGCCCCATAGTTAGCTAAGTTGGTGCACATAACTCCCATTAAACCTATGGTTTATGGTAGATATAACTAGATATAACGAACTAGTTTTCATGGGGTTTATAAACCAACTTATAACTGGGGGGCACCATCCTGTAGCAGAATCAACTGATTTCCCAGATGCTCCATGGTGCTGGAATATGAATCCCAACATTTGCCCGAACAAAATCACCCAGTTTTGTAGGTAAATAATGGTAAATATACCAGCACCATGGAGCATATGGGTTTTAGATCATCTTTAGGGAATCTTTAGAGATGTTGAGAGTCTAAGTTCAGTAGTTTAGATGATGAAATTTATGTTTGTTTGGTGGATCGTCGAATCGTGGGTGTGAAACACACGTGTGTATCTTAGTTCACTGCATGACAACCGCAGTTCTCGTTGCAGAAATCTGCCATAGAGTTGGACGTGTCAAAACAGTGGGAATTACCTCTTTTCAACTATCGAATTTCTTTACTAAAGCAGGCAGGTCCCAAGTTTAGTAATTAAACGCCTCCCCATGATGTTAGCATATTTGTATTCTTGTATTGTTTTGATTAAAAGATGATATACAGATCCAGATCCCCATGTTTTGAAATGAACCCCATGAACCATCCCGAGGTTCGTCACCATGTTCCCTAGTCGATTTGGGGTATTCCCCGCTGTTCGGACGGTACTGACCCCATGATGGGTCAGTTTTGGTCAGTGGTCCCTATTGAATACCCTCTGGTAATTTGTAACATAGCTATTGAAAATGGCCATTGAAATAGTGCATTTACCCATTGATGGCATGGTGATTTTCCATAGTTATGTTAGTTTACCAGAGGGTATTTGGAATCCACCATGGGAATCCACATTCCAAATGAATATATGTGGAATCCATTCCTATTTCAATAGGGACCATTTGGATTCAATGAATGTCCCAGTGGTCCCTAGTGAATAGCGCGGCTGGGCTTCGCATCGCCAGGTGCAAAGAAAGTCGCCACCTCGACTGAGCTGGTCGAGGACTGACCCGGCTGATACTGAGCAGGTAAGTGGGTAATAACCACAGGAAATTGCCCAGGCGGATAAATGGAATATTGAATATCCCCAGTTATAAATATATATATATGATATGAGTTATATATATATAACACTTATCATATATTATATAGAATACTTATCATATATTATACATACTATATTTTATATTATATATCATATTTCATATTATATATATATTATAATATATATTATATATATGATATATAATACATATTTTATACATATTGTATATGATATATATATTATATACACTATATATTATATAATATGTATACTATATATATTATATTATATTATATATATTATATTATATATATATTATATATTATATATTATATATTATATATTATATATTATATATTATATATTATATATATTATATATATTATATATTATATATTATATATTATATATTATATATTATATATTTGAGATATAATGTATATATATATATATCATGTATTAAAATGTATTATATTATATATATATATTATGTATATTATATATATATATATCATATGATATATATGATATAATATATATATATAATATTGTATATATTATAGATCATATATTAAAATATATTATATATTTATACTATAAATTTATATTATATATTATATGTATATTATATATATATTCTATATCTAGTATATTTATATTTTATTATATAATATATATATATAATACAAATACGGTACATGTATATGATTTGTTGTGATGTGTTATAAGTTGGCCGGTATCTCCAACACCTGAAGGAGAAGCCAAAGAAAGGCTCCGTCCAACCCGGGTTGGACGGAGGGTTGAACCAACTGATGGATGTTCATTGTCCAAAGTTGGGAGACTTTCATTGAAGACTGGAGACTGAACACTTACTGACTTACTGGTTTTTGTGTTTATTCTTGGAGCACACACACCCACGGAATCGATTTGTGTTTTCATCGATTGGGTAAACAGCGGTGGCTTCCATCTAACAAACCATCCAATTTGTGTGAAAGGATCCATGATTTTTGCTGCCACAGTTTTTCTATGAGGTAAAAAGAGAAAGAATGCCGATGTTCAGCAGGCAGCGGAGGGGTGGGTTTAGAATTAAGGCAATCAAGCTCCAGGGATATCCAGGGTCCTCAAAGTTAGGAACTCCTTGAAATATCTTGGCATTACATATATGACATGTGTCTGTTGATTCAAACAGTATTTTCAATCTCAGCAATCTTGGCGTTTTCTGACCATGACCCATGGGATCAACATGGGATCAACATGCAAAAGTCACTTTGAATGTGCTGCGTGCTGCTAGCACCCCTTTAAATTGGCACCACTTTAAAACCTCTCCGAAGTGCATACATGACCATGTCCCTTGACATTGACGAAAACAAAAATCCGCAGCGTTTGAAGTTGGTGCTGTTTGGCAGACAATTAATCACTCCCCTCAAAATATCTCAAAATTAAAATCCCCCCAGAAACTATGGTTTAGTGGGGAGTTTAAACATATTTGGGACCATGTAGGGGATGTTTTATATTAGGGGGATGGGATTACTTGCCGGCCAATCAGTCAGTTCGCTGCATGGCCAGTTTGGCATAAGATGAATATGGCACAATGAAACCACATAATGAAGCTGTACTGGTTGGAGTTGGTTTGATTATGTGATAGCTTGATCAATTGCAAATGAACACTGTACTGATGGTTGTACTGGCTTGATCTGGTGTCAGTCATTGTCAGTCTATTCGAATTGATTTCATGGATTTTTGATACAATCAGCATCAATCAGCTAATTTATCAACTACTAGTATAGCATTGTTGTAATTGCCATATATCACTGTATGAATTGTGCTTAATCCATGGATGCTGTGGGTCTCGCCTTCAACCTCGGAACAGGTCAAGGTGGAAGAAGCGGAACCTTCGGCTCCGAAGGCATTTGTAAAGCCTCAAGGGTTGATGCTGATTGGAAGAGGAGTTGAGGATTCAGGATCTTTGATCTTTAAGTGGTTGAAATTCAAATTTGGAAAGTTACAAGTGAATAAGTCAATACCCTCTGGTAAACTAACATAGCTATTGAAAATGGCCATTTATAGTGGATTTACCTATTAAAGATGGTGATTTTCCATAGTTATGTTAGTTTACCAGAGGGATCCAGAGGGTATATAATGTGGTTATAATTTTCAGATCTTGTGGGACTAAGAGTTTCAAACCTCCACGAGACTCGGAGAATTTCGGACCCAGCTTGCTCTACCCCTGAGATCCTGCAGTGATGTTCCCATGGGTTCGCCACTGCGAGGCATCCAAGAAGCGGAAGTCGGCGCAAGAAGACGAAGGTCTGAAAGGTGTCGGTTTTTCAAAAACGGGAGACCGTGGCGCGTCAATTTAAGCGATCAATCCAATGAAAAAACCATTGATATCTTCAAGTTTCATCACAAGTTTATAGATGTTGATATTTAACAATGGTTATAAATGATATCAATGGTTTAAATTGATATTTACCATGTTTAAATAATCCAATATTCACTTTTAGATTATTTTTGTTGATATGATAAAAAATGTGCAGTCATATGTACCATGGTCAAGTTGCACAGCTGATTTGTCCAGAGGGGATTGTCATACACCGATTACTTAATAGGGGCTAAATTGGCCATTAATTGCAAGGAAATCCTATTGATGATGGGATAACCATGCCCCATTTGCCCTGCAGGACACTTCCATAAAACCAACATTGAGCACTTTGATATTCCAGTCACTACCAGGATAGAAATTTGTTGGGCATCTATACGGGGCTATTGAACGTGGGGAGTTTCAATTCATTTATACATTTATCTATACGTGTGGACAGCATTTATAAACTCGATGATTTGTGCAGTGGGTGTGTCTGAAAATAGAATGCCGCAAAATCTGGCCTGATCATGATGTTCAGAATTTTCTTTGATTTTCCAATCAAAATGGCAATGAAATGGCGGCGTATCCCGCATCCCAAGTGGGCTTTGATAAAGCTGCATTGACACCAACAGATTCGGCAGGACAGACCGCAGAACTTCCTCCTACTGTCAAAAAAAGCAAGGTGCAGCGGTCTTTGTTGTATTTGTACTCTGCGAAGTTTTAAAATGTTGTCATATTCCTGAAGATGGTGTGTTCGGAAGAGCTTCGTATGTAATTAATTATGTTTGATTATTTTTGTATTTCACCATGTTTTACCCATGGTGGGGTAGATAGAATATGACATTGCGCAATCCCCACAGTTTCAATATTTTTCTGCATATGGATTTTGGGGAATATTTTATCTATAATTCAGTAATCATGAATTATACTGATTTATTATTCTAGATAATATAATCTGGATTTAATATAATATACTACAATGATTCACATATCAATCATAGTTCCGATAGTTTATCCCAAGTTGCCAAACTCGACACTTCGACCAGGTGCCCAAAAAGAAGGTGAAGTTGCCGGAGTTGCCGGCAGCGGAAGGACTTGGTGTCCTGCTTGCTGAGTTTTTTGCTGGATGAAATGATTCACCATTTGCAGGTGGATTTTCCCAGCGAATCCCTTCTCCCTAATACTAAACGTCCCCCCCCTTATTAATGAACACGGCAGGTAGTTTTTTAGTAGGGGGGTATTTAGTATTAGGGAACCCTAATACTAAATTAAAACCCTTAATATTAACTATTTTTTTCCGATCTCAACATCAATTCATTTTTTGTATATAACGCAATTAACATATTGCCAAAAATTGGATTTCGAAGCTTCCCCCTAATACTAAATTAAAACCCTTAATAATATAAAAACTAGTTTTTCCGATTTCAAAATCAAGTAAATTTCTTTATATAACGCAATTAACATATTGCCAAAAATTGGATTTCGAAGCTTCCCCCTAATACTAAATTAAAACCCTTAATAATATAAAAACTAGTTTTTCCGATTTCAAAATCAAGTAAATTTCTTTATATAACGCAATTAACATATTGCCAAAAATTAGATTTCGAAGCTTCTCCCTAATACTAAATTAAAACCCTTAACAATATAAAAACTATTTTTTCCGATTTCAAAATCAAGTAATTTTCTTTAGATAACGCAATTAAAATATTGCCAAAAATTGGATTTCGAAGCTTCCCCCTAATATTAAATTAAAACCCTTAATAATAAAAACTATTTTTTCCGATTTCAAAATCAATTAAATTTCTTTATATAACGCAATTGAAATATTGCCAAAAATTAGATTTCGAAGCTTCCCCCTAATACTAAACACCCCGGGGTTGACTAGTTTTCCCCGGGGGTTGACTAGTTTTTAGTATTAGGGGGGGAAACCCACAAATGGTAGGTTGATTTTTAAATTGTTTTCTAAAGGGGATCAATCAAAAGTCAGATTGGCCAAACTGACATTTTCAGAAATTGGAGATGGACGCCCGTTTAGTAATACGGAGAGGGGATTATAAATCTCGATTTCGTTCGGTTTTTTTTCCCTTGCCATGTTTGATTATCAGAGGGTAGCTTAGAATGAACGTGTTGGTTTGTCATAATCAGATGGTTCGTGTCGGTCGATGATGATGATGATGATGATGAAGATGAAGATGGTTGCAGTGCCTGCTGGTTTCTGTGGTGATTCCGATTTCCTGGAACTAATCGTCTTGAGCTTTGTGCCTTCGGGAATTCTAAACTGCTCTAACCAACAGGTTTTCTAGGATTGGAGCTGATTTCCTAGGCATTTCATGGTGCTTTCCAAGAAGCTGGGAGGACTGCAGCCCAAGGAAGAAATTCCCAGCGTTAGCAAAAAAAGTAAGGCTGGCAGTCAAGGATTTGTCAGTGGATTCACGTTTGACCAGGAAATGGTTGGTATAGTTGTATATGGTTGTATGATATTTGGTTATATATATAATATATATTGTTGATATTATTGGTGTTACTCCTGGTTTGATAGCGGCCATCCAGGAACACCAATCGAACGAACGGCCTTGCGGCGGTCCAGCATTTCGAACGAAAAAAGAACGGCCATCCGCGGTTCTGTCTGAACGTGCCATGACTCTGGCTAGATATGGCTAGTACACTTATTACACTTATATAAATTTGTTAGATGTAGATGTAATGAAATGCCTCTTGCTTATGGTTGCTTGGACCTACCAGGCAACCAAGAAAAAGGGCCGAGTGCTCAAAGAAGAATGAAGCAGGCCAAGGGTTCGCAGTCCGCTGGGGGAATCCCTTTCTGAAGCAACCAGTACCCTCTGGTAATTTAACATAGCTATTGAAAATGACCATTTATAGTGAGTTTTCCGAGTAAAAATGGTGATTTTCCATAGTTATGTTAGTTTACCAGAGGGTAGGATGCAATGACAAGGAAGAACTCCTGCAGGCTTTCGACACTGCTGAGAGGATTCCTCGGGCCAAAAATGGTCCCAAGAATGCTACACGTCAACAGCGCTTGAGCGTCAAAGGGCAGACACGGGCAGGCCCCTTCCCCATGTTTGGACATAACCACCACCCTCTGGTAAACTAACATAGCTGTGGAAAATCACCATGCTATCAATGGGTAAATCCACTATTTCAATGGCAATTTTCAATAGCTATGTTAAATTACCAGAGGGTATAGGTATCAGATCAAACATTCAGTTGACTCAAGGGACCGACTTTGTAACCAAGGACTTGACTCATAGCCATATTGTTTCCCAAGGCAGACAAAAAAGTGCGCCATCAAGAGTTGGAGTCAGATTGACCCATTCATTACTGGTTGGTGGTTTCAACCATTTTTTATTTTTCCATATATTGGGAATAATCATCCCAACTGACTTTCATATTTTTCAGAGGGGTAGGTATACCACCAACCAGATTAGATATACCCATTATATCCCATGGTAAATAATTGTCAGGAATCCCCTTCATGATGCTGGGACGACCAGCCACCATATAACATCATATTAAACTTGACCAGCCAGCTGCCATAGCTAGTGCTGTGGGTGAAGTAAGCAAGCCACCTTGCTGGACTGACATCAGCGTTGAGTTTTTCAGCCCCTTGCCAAATGATGATTCTGGGCAAATTATAACGACCTCACTGCGACCTCACTGGAAATCATGGTTAGTATTGGAAATGATCCCCAAATGGCCTTAATTCAGGTTAGTGAAAAATTATAATTTACCCAGATGATTCAATGTTCCTCAAATTTCATAGTTGGCTATGGATCAATACCTATGAAAATACCATTTTTAGGGGGATGAACATCCATAAATCCCAGCTATTTTGATGTGAACTACAGGGGTACAAGGGTTTTGACACACTGCCAGTTGCCGAAATTTGCATCCCAATTTTCGGGCCCCTATGGTTCATCAATGTTCATCATCATCTTCCCATTCTGAATGATGGCTCGGCTCAGTGGTCGAAAAACCACCGGCTCCGCGCTACCGAGGTCGTAAGAGGTGGAGCATTTGGCATCCCGAGGACGGTGGGTTTGGTAAATATTGGGATGGTCATCCATGACTGGGTTTGGCAAAACTGGGGGTACCCTGATGACTTAGGACATAGGACATCTATGGAAATCTACATATGTGATCATATATATATATGTGAATCCCCAATCCCTAATATATCCCTAATGCAGCTAATGGGCTGTCCCCTATGAATACAATAATATATTAATACCATGTAACTTGATCATGGGACACATATCAGGTTCTGTTCATTTATGTTTATTTTATATTCATTTATATATATATAATAATATATATTATATATATGTAGATTCAGTGTTTTAGATTATTATTCCACACACACACACATTCTATACATTCTACACCTATGCTAAGCCTGGATCTTGACCTTGCAGTTGGAGTTATTGTTCTGCCTGTAACCATGGGATCAACCATGGGATTATAAAAACCATCCATCGATTGGGAGATTGGGACCCAGATAACTATGGCTAACCCCAAGCACCTCCAATTTGTGGCAATATCAAGAGGGAAATTGCTTACGATATAATCAGTAGATTTGTTAGATTTAGGGGTACCCTAGGCCCTATTTTTAGACAAAATCCATTGTTTTGAACCAAATATGAAGGCGTGCAAGCTGTGCTGTAAACATCAACTTAGCTTGGGATGCGCAGGTTGAAGCTGGTGGACTTGCAACATCACCAGATGCTCATGCTATTTGGATCTCAAAAGTGCCCCATTTGTTGATGATCTGTTAGAAACGGTGATTTGAGCCATGTTAGTTTACCAGAAGCTATTTCCCCAACACATGACATGCCAAAAAATGACCCAACATGTACCAGTTCATTCAATTCGTGACTTACCAAATGCACCGCTTTGCCCCTTTGTTGGTCACTTGACACCGTTTTTTGTCCGAAATCTTCACTTACAAACCCCAAACATTGGAGAATACATCCAGATTGGAGCTCTTTGGAGATTTCTCCCACCCCGAAAAACCTGCCACGTATCTTTTTCAGGACGCTCACTTGTTGTGTCCCGAAGTCTTGCGATTCGGGCATGTTTGGCGCCAGAAACGGTTGATGTTGGATGATGTTGGGCTGATCAGCTCCGATTTTGATCCATTTGGCAAGTTGGGATGCCTAGTTTCAACCAAAGCTTCAACAGGGTCCCGCTGGTACCATTTGACCCAGATTTATGCAGTTTTTAACTATACATTATACATCATTACACTACTACGGTATACCCGGTATACCATATCATTACGATGATATTTGTTGTGAAAGAACTTTGGGCCAGCGTTGGGAATTTTGGAATGTCCAAGTTTATCATCAAACATGGGGTGACCTGCAAAACACACTGTGTTTTGTCGTTCAACATAGTGAACATGAATTAACATGAAACAATATAGTTGTCATATGTTGTTGTGTTTAACTTTCAACTTGGTTTATTTTTGATTATTATCAATTTCATTCAAACTATTCATCCAAGTTGCAGGTTTGGTTTGCTGCGCTATTCTCAGACATGTGTTTCCGGTGTGCAATTCTGAGGGCTGGCACCCTCTCAACATAACCATGGTAACTTTATAAAAACTAAGATGGTTACAGTATATAATATGGATGGATCCCCCTCTTAATATCCCGTATAAACCACCGGAACCCGGGTAATTACACGCTTTTTGGGGTGTTTTTAAAAGGTACCCACTTTTTTAAAGGGGGTCAAACATGTTTATAAACCAGAGCGTTCTCCCTTTTGGTGCGATGTAAACAAGAAAAAAATGCAAGGTTTGGCTGAACGCAACACTAGAATTGCCACTTTATAACCTTAAATAATTGCCAATTTATAAGGATGGTATGGTTCCGGGTCTAATTAGAAGGGGGATGATATATCAGTCTCAAACCATGATTAATTTAGAATGAACATATAGGTTTAGACCTAAGATGACAGATGTTTTTAGCATAAATCATTGCCATTTTTTGGGAAACCACAGTATTTTCATGTCATCCAGAACCGGAATTTCTTGCGCCCTTCGTCCCTTTTGGGCCAGGCCAGGCAAAGTCTTCCCACGCTTTCCGGACTTGGCAGACTTAGAGGTTGGAAATAACATCAGTTGCCAGCTGCCGTTGGGTGGTGTCTGTTAAGTCATGATGAATTGTTGGGGAAGCCGCTAAGCCCATGAAACCCCCAGATAAGTAAGGGGGAATATTCGGAATCGTCCAAGTATGGGTATGGGTCAATACCTATAGATACATTTTTAGTGGGATGAACATCCATAAATCCCAGCTATTTTGGGGTTCACTAGGTACCAGGGTTTTGACCCATCCCCGTATGTCTAAGTTATTGCTCATGATTCAGTCATGATGAATTCATGGGTGTGTCGCCCATGGGTGGTGGTCTCCCCCGGGCTGCGCATGGACCCATGAAATGTGACCAGGGTCACTCAAAACCATCCGATTCCGGGGGATTTGGCAGCGATTTCAGTCACATCAATACTTGGTCACTGAATACAGATTAGTGTGGGGGTACACTATTGTGTCCACAGACTCCTTAAAATAATTGTGAAGTTGGAAATGATGGAGGGATACAGTATGGTACAGTATTGATTGATCATTTGCTGTACTATTCTTGATCATGCGTAAATTGATGTTTTTCAGTGCATGGTGAAATGCATGGTGAAAAGATGTTAGGTCTGTGTGTTTTCTCTAAAAAATGCTGGGATCCCCAAATTGCAGCGATCATGGGGAGCAACTGTTTTCACATGTTTTCGATCCACTGAATTTTGGGATATCAGAAAAAAACTAACTTGCATTGAAATGCATCTTCCGGATCTGCAGTATGCGCAACAATCGGTCGCAAGTCGGTAGCCTAAAGAACACCGGTTTGCGTTCTGGGCGACTTCGAAGGTTTCCCACGTGGACATCCAAGAAGCGACGTCTAAAAGAGACCACAACCTGCTGGTTATAAACAATCTTGAACCCCTCGAATACTTTCGACATATCTTTCGAAATTGCACTTTGATGAATGCCAATTTGCCGAAGCTCTCCACTCTTTGACAAAGGTGGTCAGATTGAAACTTCCGACGATCCTGGAAAATTCAACAGAAGCAAGCGAATGAAATTCTATAGGTCCTGTCACTACGTATAGAATCGTATCGACATGTTGATTACGTTTGCCGCGAAATGTGTGGTTAAATTGTTCTTTAAAGTGATTTTGTGGTTAAAATATGTTGCTTTTTCGTGTTTTTACCGGCTTGTCCAATGGCTGCGCATTGTGACGACTGCACCTATCGATGACAACCAAGTCTGCGAGTTCGCCGAGGAATCCAATCCTGAAACAGCGGCAAAAACGGCACTTGTGTTTCGCAGAACAGATCGTCAAGGGTTCGGCGGAGCTGAGCTCATGTTTTTTGCAACAGCGGATCGCCACGATGTCAGCAGCACGTTCCCACCCCTTCCCTCTCCATGTCGTCCATGAATTACAAAACCCTTCAGTGGTATTTTTGTTGCGAAACAAACTAAATGTCCTTCCCCATTAATTCAAAACCACAGATATCGGAGCCATTCCCAATCATTCCTACGTTGTACCTAGATAGGTGTTGAGTACAAAAAAAAAACGGAAACCAAAACGTTTTTTTGTTTTTTTCGACTTGGCCCTGAAATTTTGACGCAAGCCATCCAAAAAGGATGTTGCCAAAGAAAATTATTCTGAGGGCTTTGGAAGTATGGCTCACAATCTGTACATTTGACTGA